TCTTAAGAGCAGGGATGTTTTTTCCTACCTTAGTGCAATTTCTCCTCCCACCCCCAATCACACAGGTGCAATTTCTCCTCCCACCCCCAATCACACAAAGACACTGTGTAGACAACTAATTACAATACCTGCAGTGCATGCCTGGCTTTCAGCACAGAGCAACAGCAATACAGGGAATTAGGTGAGATTTAAATTGGTTGAACAACACGGACATCCCTGAGAAGTATAGCAACAAAGAGACCAACTGGAACAAGAGCATCTGGAAAAAATTTAATACACATAACCTCATGCGCAGCACTTTGTGTTTAAAACAGACACACTTTCTGTTATTTGCCAATTTCACATTTGTAATAGCTAAACCTAACCTATGTGTGATCTCAAATGACTCAAATAGCTTGGCCTCTTGAAAGGAAATTGAGAAAATTCCTTCTCCTGTGTGGGCACAGTGCCAGCAGCAACAGAGTCGGCATCTGGGGAAAAGGGATCAGTCTGAAGTCTTTACATTATGTAAATTGGGCACACGCGGTGCTGCAAAAAGGTGTGGGCTTTTTCCTCCTAAAGGTGACCTGAGTTTCAACGGTTCAACTGACATCTCCTGGGGTGGCCACGGAACCAGAGGACAGCCATTGCCGTGCTCTTTACTTTATGGTTTATTAAGTAATAGCAGTATAATTGCTTAAAAAAAAAATAAAAAAAAACCCAGGAGCATGTAAATCATTAGTCTGACATTAGTGGGGACACATACCATCTTAAAAGGCTGTAAGACCACCAGAAAAATATCATACATACACAATGCATGAACGCTTCTGCTGAACGTGTAAAATACATACACATAAGAAAGAAAAACGTCACTTTTACTATTACTCCAGAAAGCCTTAGATCCCAAATTGTCCTTCAAAGGCTGTTCTGCTCGCGTGGCACGGAGTATCAGACTGATCTTACCGTACCTCTGAGGAGCTGGCACTCTGTCTGGGCTCCCGGCAGCCTCAGGATGACTCCTGCAGCTACAGGAGCCACAACCAGACAACAATGTTCCAGTGCCAGTTTTGCAAGTGGCTTCAGTTCCCTCTCCTTTACTCCCCCTTCCCCATGTCTCACTACCAGCAGGATGCTGACAGTTACCACCACCTTTTAAGAGTTTAAAACTCTTAAACTCACCACTGGTGAGTCTACAAAAGCCCCAAATGCTCTGCTCTATTTATGACAGCTGTGTCAAGCATGTTGCCCTTTGCCTGTGCCAGTCTCTGATCAATTAACGCTCCCTGCGTTATTATGACTGTGGCTCCACAGACTCCCAATGTCACTGAGACGTAGTCAGGAGGTTTCGGGTTGTGCTACTACAGAGAAGAAATTCCATTTCAACTGCAAACTCCCGCCCTGTTTGGGTGGGGAGGGCACCCAGGGCAGGGAGGAAATAGCAGGTGAATGACACTGCAGTTTCACAAACGCTTTAGGCCAGCATACACCTGCACTGCTGCCAAAAAAACCTGGTTTTCCCCCCACTTCCCTCCTTATTTTGGAACAATTTGTGACCACATGGCAGAACAGACCGAGAACCTACCTCCAGCTGAATTTTACTGGAAGAAGGGCGTTTTTAATGTGGAAGAGTTCTCTGATGCCATTCATCATGTAGCAATACAAACCATTCCTGCCAGTTCGAAGGAGGGGTAAACTCTCCTGCTGGACATGCAGCTTTATGGCAGCTTGAGACGAGCTGGAAATGGCAGGCAGGGCTTTTCCTTTCATACTACAAATCCAAACTAAGCCAAGCACAACAAAGAAAAGCTGCTTCTGATCACCTTTTGATTACGCCGGTGATACTGAAGCTGATTCATTTCAAACCCCACTGGACAGGTGCTCACCCTGCACCTCCCCTCCCTGCTGGCGGGGTCCTGGCATGGCAGAGAGATGACCCACGCCTGACAGATGAATCTCACTGCAAACACGAGCACTCCCAGTGCCATAACGGAGGGGAAACGCCCCGTGGTTCACTTGCCCTCCTGCACAGAGATGACATGAGCAGCCATGCAGAGAGCTTCTCAAACGCTGAAATTCGTCTGCAGAACGACGCCAGAAACGTCAAACTGCATATTCTAAACTTCGTGAGCTGCGTGGTGTGAGGAGGCAGAAAAACGCCCCTCTGCGGGGCAGGAGTGACATCGTGTGGCAATCGGCCTCAACTGGAGCACTCAGCTCCCAATATGTGTCAAACTAATCCAGCCAACAGCTACTCATCCTGATTAAATTCAGCTCTGTAGGAGATTACCTGCTCTGGACTGGTCATGTTTTGTTAGGGGGGATAAAAAGGTCCAGGATAGCGCATAATGTCCATTTGAAACTTCCAAATGCATTTGCAAATACCTTTTTTATAACGTGACAACTGACTATGGAGTGGCTGGTGTAGGCATAATCCTGATGCCAGGTATCCTACAACCCAAATTCCCTTGCTAAAACTCAACTCAGGCCAATGTGGTAAAAAACGAGGGAAGGAGATGAAATGGCAGCCAAACACCCCAAGGAATGCTCATGTTTCATTCCCAGTTTCCCCCAAATTTTTCATTTGCTATATGACAAGCACGAGGTTCACAGCAGAACAGAAGCAACAGGGAAGCTGCTCACCAGCAGCAAGACTGTCTATTTTCTACAACCAACCGTGCGCCTCATCCCTCGTTACAGGCAGGCTCCACACAAAAGCAGCGGAAGGTGCGGGCACACGTGGCCTTGCCACGCCACCAAGCAGCATCTCAATTTTCAGTCCCATTCTGCATTGTATTTCTACGCTTTCCTGGCATGCGGCTTTGCAAAGGGAGTAAACGGTCCCACTCCAGAAACCAGGCCCAAAGTCACACTTTTCTGCCATGCACAAGGGAGTGGGTGGCATCCCACAGCACAGGTGGGCACGCCTCAGTGCCAGGACCGCTGTTTGCCCATCCCTAGCTATACCCAAATGACATATGGCAAAGTAAGAAAATGCAAACATTGCACTACGTGCAATTTTGGGCTCACTCGTGGACCACACTCGGCTGAGGTGCACACGGGCTCTGGGAGCACAGCAGAACCCAGGACGTGGGGCTCGTTTGGCGCTTGGTGAAGTACACCCAGTAACTCATGCATCATTATCTCTCCACCATAAGGTACCTCTATGGCCAAAAAACTGTCACATGCAGGAAGTAAATTCTCTGTGTCTTTCGAGAGCTCTGGCCTTCCAGAGCTTTTGTACTACAATGCGTTCTTGTGCTTCACGCAAGTATTTCCTTCCCTTGCCATGAGACTCATCCACTGGGCTGTAGAATTCTTACTTTTCGTTTTTGATTTCATCATCAAACTGAAAACAAATACTTTTGGATCATCTTAAAAATCTTTCCCCCCTCCCCTCATAATCTGCCTGGGTTTTATTTCAGGTCTTTTTAATAAAGCATTACAATGGCACCACAGGATTGGGTCTGAGACTCACAGTGATGCTACCACGTGCTTTCTGTTTAGTGACCCATGGTGTGGGAGAGACTTTACCCGGGATTTCCACCCATAATCTGTTATCCTCCCCAGCAGGGAAGACTGAAGCCTACGTGGAAGTCCCAGATCACTGGCATGATTACCAAACCGAGCAAGTGCTATTCATTCCCTCTGTGAGTATTTGAGTCATTTTAAATTCCCATTCAAAAAGGGACTGCCAAATTTGATTCAAGAGAGATTATCTAAATACACACTTCAAAACAAGAGTAGATTCAATTAAAACTTCTAGAGTGATAAAAGCTTTTCAAATTTATCTGCTGCGAGCAATTCTTGAATCAACAGATCGCAAATCCAGTATATGTGCTCATAGGATTCACATCATACAATTCTGCAAATATCTGTAGATGTGCCAAGATGCTGGCTGAGAGAGGTCGTGGAATATATTTTAATATTACTGAAATTAAAATCATTCTCTTCTGAAACATCTGCAAAACCCCATGGTTTCACATTGGAATATCTTATTCATATTTATCTGTTCCTGAACTAAATACTTTCCAGAAGAATGAACTTGGTGTGGAAAAGCTGGGGCATGTCTTTTTTATTATTCTTCTTACTAGAATCTTAATTACCTTGTTTGGAGCTGTTCACATGAACAAAAGCAGCGGGGTTGTGGAACCGATAGCTTACAGGCACACGATTTTGCAGTACCACAACAGGTCACTGCCATTGCTAAAGGCCCACAGCATGGTGAAGAATGTGCCCAAAAAGCACATGGTTAGGAATCTGGTAAAGGAGAGAAGCTGAACAGATCTGATACTGGCCCAAGACTGCCAGGTGAAATATGCAAATTGAATTTGATTAATGTACTGGTTGTTATCAATGAACCAATAACCAACATCTACTCTGATGTAAGAGTCGAAGATTTCATCCGAGACCCTTTGCAGACTAATGTGGTCCAGAATTTATCACAGCTGTCCCACTTCAGGAAAATTAAACCCAAAAGCGTTATATCCGTATACACACGCACTTAAGAGTGCTGTGCACCCACATCTACAGCAACATTCAGCAGCAGGCAGTGTAAGATTTAAGAGACCTGTTTCATGGTGGAAAATAAACAAAAAAGACTTCCGGCAACTTACTTCTCTTGCATGGTAAATATATCAAAGCAGCCGTTTGCCAGCATTTGGTCCAGCATTGTCAGGAGAGGTACAGACACCCTGATGAAAGAAAACGATTTAACAATGTAAATACACTTCTTGGCATTCATATATACGCTCTTTTTAATTAGAAGCAAAGAAAGAAACTTCCTATCTACCTACACACATTTAAATTAGAACTCTAATTTACACATTGGAGGGTTGCTCGGTAACTTCTGTGTTGGCTAAACCATCCTCATTGGCTGAGAGGGGGACGTTCCGTTACAGCCAAAAGGAAAAAAACCTAATTAACACCACGGCTCGTTTAAACTTGCAGGGTCCTGAAAACACACTTAACAGTTGTAGAAAATATTGATTTATTTTCTAGCATATAAACAACGTATTCCGCAAAATGTATCAAAAGTTACACCTTCTCACTGCAGGTAATGCCAAATGTGCCAACACAACATGTCAGCTGGAATAACTATGGTCATGTTTTCTATTTCAACAGCTGAGACAAGAAACAACGTTTAAAAAATAAAACTGATAATGCTATTAATAGCTGTGGGGTTTTTCCCCTAGGGAATATTTTCTATTTTGCACATGTTTAATAAGTGAGGCTTAGAGAATTATACTTCATTATGCAGAATGAGGCACCTTTAAAGAAAAATCTTCACAAGAAAATTATTACTTTAATTATTTGTGAAAAAACACCACCCAAATGAAATGCAGACTGGACTACACTGAAAAGCGTGCAGCAATACATGATCCCCAATACTGCATTATATAAAAACTGGTGCTTGTCACATTATGTGCACTATTAAACCACAGGAAATGCAAAATATTCTACCCTCACTCCTGTGTCACATGTTTTACCAAAGGTACTGCTCTACCAAACAGAAGTATTACAGCAAATTTGCATGGCTCAGGCATGCTTCACCCAGGCACACCAAAGGAGAGATGCCGTGCATCTGGCTTCAAATCGTCCTGCTGTTAAAGACAAAAAAGCCAACGAAAAACATCACCGGTCATTCCGCAGGTTGTCCTCAAAGACCTTCAGCAGCGTCTCACAGAAACTCTCCAAAGCACTGGAATCGTTCTGGATTTTCTTCATGTAGTCGAAGAGGCTCTGGGCAGAGTATCTGAGCTGCAACGGAGGGAAGCTCAGATGAAGGCCCCGGGAACAAACCGCTGCGGCACACAGAACGCCGACTGCGCGGAACCGCGCTCAGCCCTCCCTGCCCGCGGCACCCACCGCGCTGTGGGCACGCGCTGCCGACAGCAACCCGGTGTGTGAGCTCAGTGACAGTGTTTGACAGGAAGATGGCTCTTTTACTGTCAGTAATCCTTTTTCAAGGAAGGGGTTTTCTTCCTTTTTAAGTTTTGCCATTGTAGGAAAAAAGACCACATTAAAGGTTCGTTATTTTCTTCCTCTCGCAATAAAACATCCCCAAACCGCTATGATTATCCTGCTTTACTTCAAATAATAATACTGTTATGGCTCTGAAAGAGTACACAAGAAGTTCACGAGGTAATATTTATTAAACAATCTGATGTAATTGAAAAATGCAGGCAAGCTCTCAGGCGCATGGTGCAGGCCACACAAACCAGCAGTAAACTTGGATTAAAAATTAAAACCAACTGAGAAAAAATTCCTCCTGGTTTAACTCGACGATGCTAACCAGCTAGTTTAGGGCGGTGGCAGGAGGAGGTTCTAGTGCTTGTGCTCGAGGCTCAGCTGGAGGCAGGGAGTTGGGGCACACCACCTGCTCAGCCTCCAGCCTCCTCCGCTGGGCTGCAGCGCAGGAGGATCCCCCTTCCCTGCGGCATCCATGCCCCCGCGCGGCTAAGGGTGCACCTTTGGGCACAAGGTGGGACAAGGACTGCAACAGGCTGCACGAACATCGCTACTAATGCTAACATTTTCCATTTCTGGAAGAGAGAGGAATTTTAGTTTCCAGGCTCATATTTTAAAATATTGACTGACTTCCTTGAAGATAAGAAGAAAAAATTGTGGGTTTTTTTTGTTACAGAAACTACTTCAAAGCTTATGAGACATTTTTATCTTGTAAAAGGTGAATATTATCAGATTTCTGAATTTTCCTGACGCTGATGTGAAGGATTATCAGTCCTGCTGGGGCTCAGTCAATTCGCTTAGGGAAGGGTGGGGGTGGCCAGGGGGTGTCCCCCATAAAAAATGGGTTACAATGAAGGGGGCTGTGGGAAGGTTAGGTGTGGCAGATCAGTTTTGAAGTACGAGCTTCTTTCAGTTTTGGTTCCAAGTGTAAAATAATGTTCTGTTGAGTCAAGAGGGGCTGTAAGCAATAAGGCTGTTCAGTCAGTGGAGATTTTGTTTCTGAACAAAAATACACAGCATTTTGATAGCTCATTCAAAGGTGCAACCAGCTCCCTCTGAAGATGGACTCTTACCAAGAACAGACAAAAATAATCAGATCAGTATGAGAAGTGTCACAAGGGTCCTCCTGAAAGCGGGAGAGAAGAACCTCTATTTAAACATTTGATCTAGTTTAAATTTTACATCAGTAACATTTATGGATGCATCAGCACAGAAGAACAAGAAACATTTTAGCCTGGAATCGAAACCCTGAACTAGTTCTCCAAAGCTTTAGTCCACAACACGGCACAGCGATCCATACTACCTGGAAAGTGGCACAGTCTGCTGTTTTAACAATCTGTTCTACAGTGACACATACCAGTCAATGCAGAAGCAGAAAGAAGGGTCAAGCAATTTAAAGAAATTATTGAGCTATTCCGCATTTCAAAATTACAGTCAAATCTCAGTGACAATTGTTTAAACATCTGAAAAAGCCAGCGATGCTAAATGGAAATACTGAATTGAACTGAGTGTCGTTCTTTCGCAGGCCAAAAGTAACGTTGGCATGTTTCCCTGTATGCTGAGTACAAACTGGATCCTTACCCTGACACGTCTTTAGAGGATGTACAATTGTAAGGAGGAGAGATTTCCTGAGAATTTTAAACCTGCTTAATTATTGTTTACTACCCTTTAATACAATCTGTGCATTTAAGACAAATAAAGAAGAATATTTTGTCTTTATACCTTACACTAGCAGAGATCAATTATAAGCAGAAGAAAGGTTACATTCGAGTCAAGTAAAAGATCCTAAACCATGTATGATTAACCATGTAATTTTCTCTCCTGTTTCTTTTATCTTTTAAACTACCTTGCAGATCTCGCACCATTTGTTGAATAAAGCTTAATTCCTCAATGCTTTTCCTGCAGATTCAAATGATGGAAAAGGCAAGAATGGGCACGAAAGAAAAGGGCAAGCATAACTGCATGCAGGATGTTCCAAAGCTGTGCAAAACCAAGATGGTGTAGCAGGATCATCAGAAAAACTGTATAATGAAGACAGCATTTCTTTGTTAGCAAGTAATTAAACTATACTACAGGTATGGAAAAACCATCAGATAGCTGCTTGGCAGATTTAAAAACCGGACATTTTTCAAATAGCCAGCACAGACCATATGAATTTTACTGGAAGAATCTCTAACGTAACAAGATAACATCACATGAACAGGTTAAATCCATATTTCCTACTGAGGTGAACGCTCCTTTTCTCCCAGATAACCTCTGAGGACAATATCTGAGCAATAACCTTAACTGCTCATGAGTATTTGCAGAGAAGCGCATTTCCAAATTTCTTCCTCATCTTTGCAGAACACAGAATTCACACTATATCAAATTTGTGACATTTACCTTTCCCTGGGGCTGTACAAGGACTGGGAAAGGAAATTAGGAGGTTAATGGGCTGGAACTGGGACAGCTTTGGATAAGAATTGAAGAGGAGACCCAAGAATGACCTTGTTCTTCTTAAGCATAGTAAAACCAGGGTTTGCCAAGGCTTTGACTCTCCCATCATTTAAGCCATGAGTACGAACTTCAGTGACAGGCAATTCACAATAAGGCAAACAGCGTTCAAAGGGACCATTCATCTGATGATAAAACCAAAGTTCTAAGGATTTTACCTCCTGAACCAGGGGAAAAGTATGAGAAAGTGTAGCTACAGCAAGGGGAGAAGGCAGTTAACCGCTCTGGACAACGAAACTGTTTCCTAGTCAGCTTGTTGCAAAACTGAAGTACAATACTTCTAAAAACAGTCTTAAGACAACGAGTGGGACTGATACTGCCCAAAGAAAATCAGCTTAGGCATCCAGTTTGTGACAGAGTATCCAAATTCTCAGCTACCTGTCAGCTACAAAGATGCCCGGTCCACCCAAGGGCTCTGATTCTCACTCTGCAGTTCTATCTTGGACAGTAATAAAAAAGCAAGTGGGGCATGATGGGAAAGGGAGAGCCTGTTCTGAAGATGTTCAGCAGATCGACAAACCCTAATGGTTGTCAGTCTCCCACCTAACCAGTCTTCTTGGAGCCCCAGGTGTCTTAGTAGAATTCAGTCTTCTGCACCTAGCGCACCACAAACGCGCAGTACTCACAAAAGTGAGTAACTACTGGAAAGGACTGGACAAAATCGGCATTTTTACATACAGATAGTTGCTAAAGGCTCCAGTTTTCATAGATGTATTTCAACAGAGAAAGACCTGCTCGCAGATTCAGAACATTCCTGTAACGTGTGCAGAAGAAACCATGTTACGCTCAATAAATAACGCTGGTTTTGGATCATTTCTAATCCCGACAAATTTACAGCACTGAAGTGGCAGTAGCCTATTTTCCCAGTAACTTCAGAAAAAAAACCCGTATCATTTAAATTTGAGCACAAGTGAAATCATCCCTCCCTTGTTTTACTTGCAACACTCCTTTCAATAAATCAAATCTTTGGAGGCCAGTAACTCTAAGACTCAAGTCAGTGATACTTCATGAAAAGAAGGAATATAATACTTCACACTGTTTTTTCTTTAAAGAATGACAGAAATTATTCTCAAATGTATTTTGCTCTAGAATTGTCAACCGAGAAAACTGGATTTGGGGCCTGTTCCTTCAACCCAATATGCACTGATTTGCATACAATCCATTGCAGTAACCAGATGGTTTAGAACATCAGCTATGGACGTCCTGACATTTTCATCTGTAAGAACGGGCACAGCACTGAAAAAAACTTTTAATTTCCAAAATAGGTTGCTTTTTTTTTTTAAGGTTTTACATAAAATTTCTATAACATTTTAAAATGTTATTTCCGCTCTTTATGGGGGAAGGGGAAATCACAGGACATTCTGTGCTTTAACAAAATTTTAAATGTAGCGTAGTTGAACAATCATGAAATTATATCAAAATTATATCCCGACCCCTGAAACCACAGGGTTTGTGACTGGAGAAAGAACACCATTGTATAGTTCTGATCTCCATACACTGAGAGGGTTTTTTCTGCAGCCGTAAGAAACATGCATCATTGTGGGCCAGATATATAATTAGAAGATTCTTTCACACAGAGAAAGTGCCCTTTGAACCAAGGCGATGCTGCAGAATGCCAAATCCCAAAAGGAATGACGTCTTCTGTTTTTCCAGATTACTTCAAATGCTTGAGCTACAATTCTTTCAGCAACCATGCTGCCACCAAAATGTTTCTGAGACACCCCACACAGCTCATTTCAGAAAATCTCTTTAAAAAGCAAAACAAAGAACTGCTCTTGCTAAATATACTGCAGAGCAATTTTAACTACGGAAAAATAGCCACTGACCACTGAATTACAATGGACTCTTTCTCCTACTAATTCCCTGAGATGAATTAAAGACAAATCAACATTTAAACTCAGATTATCTTGCAGTATACCAGAATCTTCTAACTTCCTAACTTCTATGTCCACATGTGTTTGTGTATGTGTATATATATTTCTTAAGCAAGAGACGGAAGAAGAGAGAGATCACACAAACAGACACAGGTTACTGCAAGAGCACATATTTGAATAATCGTTTTCCTTTATCCAAGACTCTTAAAATCAGCTTCTTTCATATGAATTTAATAGGAATAGTTCTTAAAATTTTCTCTTAATGTTTTAATTCAGTCCCTGGATATTCAGTAAAGAGTGCTACAGGCTTTGATAGAAGAGTCTGAAACACAAGTCATTATAAAACACATCAAGTCTAATTTACGTATCGTATTTTAACATTAAATGCAATTCACCACACACTATATAATCCCAAGCGTAAGTACCCTGTACTTTGAGCCTCCCTTACACTTCTATCTGGCTCGAAAGAGAATTAGGTCATCTTCTTTCTAAAGCCAAAGCCCTTGAGAATATTTTAACTGGAACGAGGCTTTAGCGTTAAAGAAAAATGTCGGGTCACAGAAAGTTAACATTTCAAAATCATACTTTGAAAACAGTACAGAAGGTTTCCCTTAAATATAGTGGCAGATGGTAACAAGGGAAGGGAGCAAGAAGTAACTGAACTGTTTACACTTCTCAAAACCAAGCACAACAAAAGAAAAAAGATATTAAAATGTTGAATAAGAATTCTCCTCTGACCTCAGTTAGCAGTCAGAATGTCTGTTCCTCCACAACTTCCCTCTTTTTATACTTATATGAATAACTCTGGTTTTGGTGGAGTCTCCTGTAATTAACTGTTTGACCAGAAGCTGAATTTCATGTGCATGTCTGCTATTAAAAAAATCTGTTCAGAGTTACATTGTCTCTCCGATAATTATTGTCACAAACCAGTAAGCATATGTTTTCAAAGTTTTAAAATAGCCATTGCTAGGTAATTACTTGTCATTTTAGAAACATTAACGTTCTCAAAATTGGTTTGAATACACGAGACTGCACAGACACCAAATCCTCAGCTACATAAAACACAAAGGCATATGGACATCTCCGGATCACGAGCGCAGAACCCACGGCACCAGGCAAAAACCAGCACTGGGGCGTATTCTGAACAGCTCATGGTAAGAGTGGAAGGTGCAAGCCACGTGAGACAAGCTCAGAATGATTGCCTCCTTCCTTCTGTGAACCCAGCAGGAGCTGTTCTCTCTCCACAAAAACTGCATTGCCTGACACTGACCACTTCTCTACCAGCTTTCTTAATTAGACAGGGCAATCTTAATTAGAAACACTCTTAAACACTGTTGGGGTGCTGACTCATGGCCACCTCCTTCCATGACAGGGCCACTGCGATTTAAAGATTTAACTGTTGGTCCAGAATATTCTGCTACTGGTTGGATATTTCTCTGCAGTGTCATTCTGAATCTCCTATTGAACCACGTCCTTACCCCGATAGTTGTTTTCATACGTTACATCTTTGGCTACATCAAATAACACGAAATTAAGAAGCCAAATATGTTGAAACTAAGAATTCTGAAACTAGCAAGACATGCTGTAATAGAAGGACAGGAGGATACATTAAAAGTATAATAAAGTTACTAAAATTATAATAAAGTCTGGAAAATTTTAACAGCACAACAGACTATGAAAACCAATGCTAAAGACACTGTTCACGCACAGAAGAATGCAATAGAGATTGCAAAGCTCAGAGGATTCAGACAGACAGACGTTCGAATGATATGTCTTTGTAACGTAACTTTTGGTATCTCTTTGGTACTTTCTTAGAAAGCATATCAACTTAATAAACAAAAACATCTGAACATACTGTTAACACATATTGATAGCTAATAATTAACACCTTGTATCATTAAAAAAAAAAAAAAAGAGAGAGAACACAGGTTACAAATGAGAACATCTCATTTAAAAAGAGCAATCATGCATCTAGCCACCACATTTCGCAAGCTGAACGGCTCTGCCTCTGCTAACAGCTTGGAAAGGTGGGCAGAGAAGCAAAAGAGCTGATTGAGCCAACAGAGGGAACACTCGGCTTCTCTCAGGCCAGGAAATGAGAAACAAAGTGTCCTCACTCCTTGTTTCCTGCTTGTGCAAGAACTCAAGAAAATACTTTTAAGATGAAAAATATAAAGCCCGTCAGGTTTACAGTATGACTTGACTTCTTTTAAAAATCCCCCATCTGTAATTCTGACAGAAGTAACTGTTGGCAATACCCACTGCACCAGACTGAAGACTTGGCCAACGATTGTGTCAGGTCTCTGCACTCTGCTACCAAACATGACAGCCACCCTGCTTCCTTACCGTCGTCTCTGTGAGCCCGCCAACCGACACGGAGAGACCCAAGAGCACGTAGTACTGGTACGCTGGCAAAGCCAAAAGCTGCGTGATTCGAGGGAAAGCTGCTGACGCGGCATTCCAGTTCAGAGTCTCTTTCTCTGACCTGGGGAAAGGGGAAAAAAAAAAAAAATCTTTCACGTGTGCACTTTCTTCTCCGTACATTCCTATTAGAATTCCTCATCCTCAACCAGCATGTCAGTGAAGAAAGTCTCTGAATCACCTAAAAATCAAATTAATCATTGCTCTTTAAGCATAGGGGAAAATATAAATCACAACTTCAGCCACTGCCAGTGAAGTGAAGCAATCAAGTCCTGGTTCTGATTCAGATACAGGATTTGAACCACAGTTTCCTTTTCATGTGCACTTTTCTCTGTACCAAGAAAACAAGTTCTCCTTCTTGCATTACATTCCCAGTTTTCTCCCACCACCAACCGATACAAAGACAGACTTATTCCAGGAAAGGCTGACACAGATACACCCACCACAGATCAATCAGCAGCCTAGCAGACAGAGCACTTTTTGAGTTACAGGAGGCTCGGATTCTGCTGAACAAACAGAATGAGTAGACAAAGTTAGATGTTCCTCATCCCAATCAGGTATTATAATCACCATTCAAGAATGAGTTGCTCTCAGTCTTACTTTAACTAGAAATCCATCTTGGAAACTACTGCAACTACAGCTAGGTTAAAATAATAAAATTCATTAAAAATTATCATTATGATCAATCAGTGTTTTCCAGTCAGGGAAAAAATAATTCAAGAAGAGGGGCTGCCAATGAATTCCAGCTCTCACATTATGATGAGAAAATGAGACTATAAGCCAGACATTTCATAAACAGCAGGATTACCAAAACACAGGTCCCAGCAGATGTGTTTTACCAATGGTCTCCCAGCTATCTACTGCTGACAAGATCTCTACCATCCACCATGAAACTGGCTGATGGGTTCAGAAATTAATGGGTTGATCCAGAGAAAGACTATGCAGCATGACTACATAAGACCTGTATCCTTCAGAAATTATGGGTTTAATGCATTTTTACTATAAGAAGTTCTGTTTTGTATGTTTATGCATATTCATTGTACACTTCGATGAAATTCCAGCAAACACCAGCAAATATTCCTCAATACACATTGTAGGCATTCGGGCACAGAAATTACATCCAGTTGCTTGTGTTAGTGTTGCTTGTGTGCAGGCATCTTTTTGTTTTCACTGGTTTAGGATATCTTCTTCAATATATTACCTTGGAAATATTCTCTCTAGCTCTTCTCGATGAGGTATGTGTGGAACTGGAGGATGATCAAAATGTAAAAGAGTAAGGAACACAGATCCTGCATGAGCTCGAAATTTATCGATTTTTTCAGCCGACTGTTGGGCCAACCAGCACATAATCTGTTTGCAGCTACAAAGAAGAAAACAACTCATCACATAATTTAATCAGTGGAATGTGTATTTAAACTTAAATCATTGCAATGATATAACAAATATCGTGCTATGAAAGTATTGGAGCCTAACTCTTTGTAATGAACGTACATGCGATTTAAGACATGGAGACAGAATCTTTAGAGCTTTGTCTTCCATAGATTGATCAAAAAATGTCATGACATGAATATTACTCAGTATTTGATATTCACATACCACTTTCCATCCAAAAAGAAACGAAGGTGTTTTATGGTTTGGATGAACTATGACACTTCAGATGGAAATAGAGCAGGAACCTTGGGAAGAGTACATTTTCGAGTAGAAAACTGCACATACAGCAGAGGACCAGGTCTAAGAAACCATGTGTATATTCAGCTAACCATTGGACACGCTCTGTCCATAAATCTACACCACTTTTTTTAGAACTATTAAGAAAGTTTTGCTGCAGCTCAAGCTATGCTTAAAAACTGGTAAGATCAGTTTGGTTGGTTGTTTTTTGTTTTGTTGTGTTTTCTTTTACTATTAGGGGTGTTGTATCATGACATTAACAATCAGTAGCTCAGTGTAAATGATGTTTTTCTGTATTTCCTTGCTAACAATTCCGCAAAGAAGATAGAAATGAGTACAAACTCCTCTCCACATTTTATCACATTCCAAATTAATGATGCAATGCTCTGGATACGCGGGCGAGTGTGCTTTCTATTTAAGTGAACAATACTGGCAAGCTCCACAGAGGAGGCAAGTATAGACCAAATCTCACAGATGCACTGTATTTCCAAAGTGGGAAATAACTCAATAACGTCAGTGTCTCTGAAAAACAGATTTGATATTCTCAGCATCTGTATGCATATAAGCTTGATGCCCTTCTATCAAAAGCTCTGTCACGCTCAGTAAACGAGCAGTATACAACTACATTCCAGTCCATACATATTGTGAGAGATAAGACACAAAAATAGTACAAGCAGCATACATGTTGGCATTAATTAACGCCGCGTCACTCCGAACCAGCAGAAGCGTCACCTCCATTAAACTTGTCATAGCAGCTTCACGAACCCTGTTGGAACAGACACACCATAAAGTAGTTACAGCACTATATATTTAAATAAACGCATTGGCCCTTAAGTTAGACAAACACTGGCAAAAAATTCAAAACAATGCAAGTGTTGACCCCTGAGAGCAGCTATTGTATTTTTGGGAGGAAGAGGACTGTGTACAGCTGTACCCCCAAGCCCCATCCTGTGAAGTCCAAATTTGTACTGAGAGTGCGACATTCATCCTAGTTTCCAGGCAAGCCCCCTGCCTCACCATCTTAGTTTTTATTCCAGCCAGATATCATCAGCTTTATTCTTTAAGATGGTTAAAATTGATAACTATTAGTAATTTTTGGCGTGCAAGTAGATGTATTTAAATCCGAGTGCTTTGTCTGCTTCAAATCATCATCATCTACAAAGACTAACTCACATTTTGACATGAAGATACTTAAGCACTATTAAAAGTGTCATATTCCTGTAAATTTTCAAGTTTAGTACTTCCAACATTAAAAAAAAACCTGACTCAAAATGGCTTAAATCTCTATGATAAATAATAATTAGTTTTATGAAAAAGATTAACTAAAGTAACACAAAGTTGTGCTTGAAGTGCATCTTATCTACATGGCGAAGATTTTCTGCCTTCAAAAGTCTAAATACAGTATCAATACAAAAAAAAAAAGATGAAGAATGTAATTGAAATCAAAAATCAACACACTTGTTTTAAACCACGACTTCTCAATACTTGATTTGTAAAAAGCAGTTCCTTTCTTAAAACATGGGCAATACCATGGCAGATCCTCAATTGGTTACATGATCCTGCAGAAGACCAGGACCAACGCATTCATCACATTAGTCAGTCATGGAAATGTCATCCTTTCTTAGAAATAATTAAAAAAAAAAAACATATATTGAAATATTTGAAAAGGTACTTGCCTACTGTGAAAAGACATACTCCTGTTTCTAATTTCCAAAACAAGATGAAAACAGTTGCCTCTGCCATCTAAAACTGGGTAGGACATTAATATAATGGTGAAAAAGGTAAATTACATCATTTTTTCCTAAGTAATTTAATACAAGTTTGGCAATCTTTCATCAAAGGATGTTTTCCTACTTTTTTTTCATATAGAATCTGACTATTAGATATTCATGTCTAACACCTGTAGACAGATTGGACAAGTCCCAGCAAACAATCTGTCAAAAGAAATGTAAAGTTTGCACATGGAAAGTAAAGTTGGTTAAACTTTCCCACGATTCCATTAAAGAGAGACAAAAATTACACACCAAAGAAAATGTCTCTCCAGAGAAGTGGCAATTCTCCCCCATATCTTCCCATCTTAGCCAGTGGTTTAAAAGAAACAGAATGAGAAAACATTCATATTTGGGAGGCCACAAAAATATTTAGCAGCCAACAATTTGCTATGAGAAAGGGTTTCCCTTCCCCCTTTAATTTACGTGTTTCTTGACTTGATTTTGGCTGGCGTTACCAAAGAAGCTTTAAAAGAATATGGTGCTCAAAGTACATTTGAATTTTAATGGGTGCTTGGAATTTAATTTCCTCGGGAATTTAATTTCCTCAGGAGTTCTTTGAAAATTTCCACCTTCTAGAGTTCTGGTTTTCAATTAAGACATAGACAGAAGGACAAACAACAGGTATGGGGAACTTAAGTGAGAGCTGCCAGATGTGGAAGCTAACCTGAGTATCTAATTATACTTAGCCAGGTTCTTGTCTGCTTCGGTATCTCACCTCATTTTGAAAGCAAGAACTTTAGTATCTCTTCCCTTTCTCTGATTCCCCATCCTATATGGTTGCTTTTTCAGCTACACTTTTTGTCAATCTCATGTTACTATATTTATTCTCTGAGCGAACCCATTCACCTCCCTCTTGCTTCTTTGGCAGCTGAGGAAGGAGGACAGCGAGAGCCAAACTCCTCCTTCCCTTCTGCAAACTGGAATGACCTGATCTTGATCCTTACTAGTTTGCCTCCTTGTTTCTTCTTCTAAGTTTGAGATGTCAAACACACCTACTTTTCTCTGATTTCTTGTCCTGTGTTACTACTTCCCTGCCATACAACAATTTTAGCAATCACTACTGAAGGCTGAGGAGCTGGGTAGCATTATACGAAACAAGAAAAATACAAAGACACAAATATTAACTCAGGCTGGTTAAGAGTAGTCTGGATTATTTGGCCTGTGTACTTTTCCAACACGTTTGTAAATACTGAAGTATCCTAAAGGAACAAGGCTAGTCAATTAAAAAAGTGCCCAATATCTTTCTTGGACTTTGTGCTGTAGCACTCAGACTTCCCTTTCTGTTCAAAGACAGAGTAGTTATAAATCACTGCTGCCACTCACGCTGGAACTGATGAGATCTCGATGACTGATTATGACTCAGTAGAGCACAAGCATTCAAGTTCAGCAGCAACTACCCAATGATTGCTGGCAATGAAAAAAATCTAGCACGATACATATTGCACAAAAAAAGCACCATCGCAACTTTTCTTCCTACCTAAGACAACAGCCAGTTGCGCGGTGTGTTATAGTAGCTCCTGCTCCTCATCGTAATTACAAATGTACTTTACAACACCCATCTCTGTGTGCAAGCTATCGAATAAGCAACCCTACACAGAGGAAGATGCTACTGTAATTCACTTTTTTTCTTTCTTTAATGCAAACCTGGGGCTACCAGATAGAATAATGACACTAAAGCCAAGAAAGAGTGAGTAGAACAGAATTCTAAAACAGACAACCAGAAATTTGAGACTAAACAACAAGTTCCCAACCTCACACAATGCATACTTGGCATCATGTATTACTACACCAGATTGGAACCGGGATCAGCATGCTATGCATGGCTGCTGAAGCTGAACACAGCCAATGCTCCAGAACCGGACTGTTTTGCTTGCAGCAGGGAGGAAGGAGCAAGCAACTGAGATTGTTTTGGCCACAGAAAGAAGCATGACAAGCAAGGAGGAGTGCACACCCTCCTCTGCAAGGTACACCTAACTTCTCTTCCATTGTAGCCTTCCCAAGCCAGCAAACATCATCAGAGATCACAACCATCATCTGTGAGCCCCGCCAGCATCGCTATAGCCACAACATATGTAGTTTGGAGCCTTTAATTTCCGTAGTCCTCCATCCCTCCTCAGCTGCCAGTTATGATACAGTAGATGTCACAATTAAATCAAAAGGAAATTATGTTTCAAGTCCATATACACTGTTGAAAACGTCGCTTCACAGAAGAGGACGGCGACTGAAAACATGTCTTAACCAGTTATTTCATACAAACACTCTACAGGGATACAACTGAAACTAACCACCAAAGCCCTTCATGTGACTCAGCACTGCTAGACAAGAGCTTCTTCAATAAGCTGGGAAAACAGGGAAATCTATCCAACCAACAAAATCATTTCCTATCGGTAGTTCTCAGGCACTCCTCCCTTCCTCCCTGGAATGCAATACAATGCCAGATACTAGATCTGAACAATCAACAGGTGGTTAATTGACAATCCTGAGCACGCACCTCTGCAGACTGAGATGCTTCATGTAGTCGCCAGACAGGTAGGTATTTTTGCACTAACTTAAATCCGGCTGATTTAGGCAGCAGCCAAAACTGGCAGGTTGTATTTGAGTGTGCAAGGAGCCCGATTTCACCATGAGGCAGCTCTACAGAGCTGTCTGGTCCACTGCATCTTCATCGCTGCTCTCATCCATGTATCTGACTTGTGGTTCCTAACACGCCTGCAAAACTCTGCTCACATGCAAAGCTTGTCTTTGGGAAATTCAGTGTTAACTCAGAGCAAGAAAACAGAACATCAGAGAAACAGACTGACGTCCATCAAATACATATTACCACGCCATTACCATACCACACAAACAGTATTACCCAGACTGTTAGGCAGGACTAATACTGTATGTATAGAATCATGCCTAAAAGCAACATATATCTGCATATTTTCACATTAAAATTATGCATTAAGACAACAAAATTAAGAACTCTTTTTCAAAACCAGCAGTTTACTCAAAAACAATTTCCAACAACTAAGACAACTAAAATTAATTTATCACATTCATTTACTCCATTTACAACTTCTCTATACAAGGATTAAGTGTTACTGCTCTGAGTCTTCTACATAGCAGCAAAACTTCATATACTTTAAATCTGCAGGTACTGGATTTATTCCTGAATTCTGGTAACTTGATACTCAACAAGTACTATTTCACACTGGGCATATTCATGCTCATAAATACATGCAGAAAAGCACCCTAGCAAGAGAGAGTGTAGGTTTCGTTAGTACTCATTTGATCTCCAAGATCCATGTTTATGGTTTTCTCACCCCGTAAATACCTTGTGGAATTGTAAAGGATGAAGCGATTAACATGAAATCTTCCCTGCTGCTCTATCACATTCTGCAGACTGCAGGAAGCAATGTTACATTCCCAGTCACCAGCTCCTTTAGACATTCAACACAAACCCAAAGAGGGACATAAGCCTTTAGAGAGCTTTGGTTCATCAATTTAGAAATTGCCTTTTCAGATCAGTGTTACTGAAGGAATACAGAATATTCAGATGAATGCAATCTTATATACTGAATCTTCTTTATATATTAAGGGAACTGTGACGACTGGAGAACATCACAAAAAGATGACTGCTACAGACTTGATCTTGTACCTAGTCTATAAATTTCACAATAATAGATATATTCCTACACACTTATGATTTAATTATTCTGGCAATCTAATAGCTAAAATCGTTGAAATCCTAAACTTATAAAAGAGTCAGTAATACCACAGCACAATTTATGAAGTTTTCATCCGTTTCAGTTAGTTACTAGCCTTGAAAATTTGTCACTAACACGTTATGCAACTGCTCCCTCTCCTGGCAAAAAATCCCCACAGCACGAACGTACAATAGGAGAGTTCACTAAGCAGGAGAAACAGTATTATTTCCAAGAAACAGAAGTAACGGCTTAAATTTCCGTACTTTTTACAACTGAATACTTTGTTGATATTCACTAAAATACAAGAAGGTCATCCACAAAGCCAGAATAAGGCCAGTTTAAAACACAACAGTCCCCATCTTCCTAAGTTCCAAGGCAAGGGACAAGCAAATGGTCAGCCTTTCCTTTCACTTTCTACTCCTCTTCCTCCAGTCTATTTCTACCTATACTCAAATCTCCGAAAGAAAAGGCATCAGTTTTTAATTAGACAGCAAACACAACAGCTAAGTTTAATTAAAGTCTCTGTTTGTAAGGCATCTTACCATCCTCCAACATCTCCTCGGCTGTCTGTGGTGTAGTCAGTCACACCACTAAGTAGTGTGGCATAAATCTGATTCACGTTATCTTTGCAGACATATTCTTCCTGGGATCCTTCTCCCTTTACACCTACTGTCTGGCAAACCCTTTGAAAAGAGAAAATGGAGGTGGGGGGAATAGCACACCAGCAAAGAGAAGAAACATTAAGATCATAGCTTTCGTCTGTTGTTTAAAAAAATTCCCCAGACATGCAATATTCCGAACAGCTGTAACATCTGCTACAACAGCATAAAGAATATTTCTGACCCTACTGTACTATATTTGACCTGAGGATTTCTGATCAGTTGTCAGGTTTAAAGGAAAACTGGCAAGGCAAAAAGCTCAACAGATAAGTAGACTGTTTTTACGTCTACAACACTACAAAAAAGAACATGCTTAAAGTACCTCTTGGTTTCTGAACTCTCCTTAAAATGAAGCCAGCAAGAAGAGCAATTGAATTTGATATCAACAAACTTCTTTACATTGAAACAACATTCTGGTTAACATCAGAAAGAGTTTTTTTTTTTTATTGTAACAGGTTAAGAGCGTATATACTGTGATACTATTAACACTAAGTACACTGTGGCACGTCAACACAGAAAATATTCCTTTAGAGAAAAAGTACAATTTCTTCAAACCAATTCAATCTTCTGATTCAGAAAGTGGAAAAAACATATATTCTTCCTACTCACTAAAGCTCACTAAAATGCAGACCATGAGAAAGGTGAACTTTAAAATACACTCTAGCTATTCAGTTAATTGATTTAAAAAAAGCCACAACATGGTCAGAATGGATGGAGGAGAACTTCATCCTCAGATGTGCCCTAATCCTCTGAATCAAAGACACATTCAATAACAGAAATGCACACATCCCACACTAAAAATGTGTACATCATAGTGTAACTGGTTTCAAGAATGACACTATAACAGAAAGCGGAACAAACAGGAGAAATTAGACAAAAATAAAAGACAATTAACATACTTCGCAATTGCTATTAGGGCATCTCTTCTGGATTCTGCAAAGCTCACGTCTGCAGGGGAAATTAAGGTAACTTTTTTCAAACCTTCCAAAACCTGAAAAAATATAAAAATTAAGATATTTAATGCCAACAATTATTTAAGGTAAAATGTTAAATTTAGATATGGTATTAAAATGAGTCCAATGAGAGAACCAAGCAGAGAACAGTGGCTGGTTTCTCATCATGACCTGTCAGCATGCCTCACTCGTCCCTGTGGACAAATGTTCTACAGCAAAGGCATAATTCAGTCTCTGGCTTTTCCATTAACACTACTAAAGCAGGACTAAACTTTAATTATCAGAATCTATGGCAAGCTAAACTCATGATGATTTTCTGGAGTTACTGTACATTACAACCCAAACCCCTTTCACAAAGACCTTTAATTACAATCATTATTATTTATTTGATTATGATCATAGGTTTCATTCAAGATACTGTGTGCCCTCTTCTCATTACAATGATTATATTTTCTCACCTGCTGGAGCCTGCCCTTTAGCAGAAACCTTGGAAGGGCCCCAAGAGCTCGTGAAAAGCCACAACGAATCATTTCCTCTGTGTTTTGTAGTTCTGAAACATACTGCGTCACCAGCTCATCTAGAAAAAAAAAAAAAAAAGCAGAGTGAAACGTAACTACCACATCATTATAATTACATATTTGGCTGACAAAAAAAATAAAACAGGAAAAGATTGCTACAACACAGCACCTAGAAAATTTTATAATTCATTACACTAAAATACAGAATATCTTTAATTTCCTACTGAAAAATTTCCTACTTTTTATATAGAGACAAAAATAAAGTTGGGCTTTTTACAGGAGAAAGCTTAAAAAGAAGCAACCACTTTGAAGTAGGGCTGTTGCACTGATTGTGTGCGTTGTTACATGACAAAACAGGGACAATGGCTCTACAAGCAGTAGCACAGAGAAAAGCAACAGGAATAAACTGAACTGGGCATGAAAAAAGGCTCAACAATGAAGTGATGCTAAGAAGAAAATGAGAATGAATGGAAAACAAAAAAGTCAGGAGTCTGTCTACATATTTCTACTGTAGTCTTTACCACAAATTTAACATACAATACTTCCTTTACCAGATTTTTGAGCTACTATATTAAACTCTTCTGTAAAATGCAGAGAAAAACAAGGTACTCCAGAAAAACTTCTAACAACCAAGACAGCTGCAGTAAACACAACCGTGGTTCATAAAGGAGAAAGGTGGTCTTATTAATAGCTTTACTGAATATGCACATTTAATCCTCAAAAGAAAGAGCGAGCATCAGGGATCCTAGGAAAATTACATAATGGTGCCACTGCTTACTGTCATCTAAGATCTAAATGATTGAGCAATATTTGCTAGAGGAAGAAAGAATAGTTACCATCAGAAACTACACATTAATCATAACTCCTGACTGAGGGTTGCTCTAAATGCCTATGTAACAAGCAGGCTCCAACTAGTTCCTCACATCAGGGAACTAGTTCCCTGTCCACAGGTTAGCAACACCTTCACAGCAGCACATCCATCATTCACAAATTTCCAAACGACGGGAGCGTAAGACAGTCTTGAGGCCACAGGAAGATGCAACGCTTGCTCAGACAGCAAGGTGATCTCAGCCAGTAAGACTACGACAGTCTTCCCTTTGATTGATGTCTAGTTAAAGAGTGACATTTTAGCCAAATGACATAAAACTGAGACACGACAACTAGCAAACGAGCAGCTCTTTACTTGTAACTACTTAGTAATTATGCTAGCAAGGGTAACGCAAATGTTAATATTCTTCTAAGAGTCTTTAGCTTCATAAAACAACATGGCCTATGAAGTGTCTACAATATTAATGCACCTCAGCCCATCCTGAAATAACTTTAAAAGAGAAAGCCATCAAAACCAAACCAGAACACATTAAGACCGAAAAAATAAAACAAAGAAAAGGTGAACACAAACTGAGGCAGAAAAAGTGATTCAATGAAATTGCAGTCTCACAGGGCCAGATTCAGAACACAAAATCACTAACGTATCTCTGATTTATGGTTTCATTTTGATCTGTCAAGCAATAGTGACACACTGGTTATATTTTACCAAATGCTTTTTTTTCTCCTAATCCCCTTCATCATGTTTAGACCTGCTTTAACTGACTTCTCTAAGGCACCTGCATTGTCACTGAATGTCTTCTGCTCTGTGGCTTCTACATATACATCAGACATTATGGGGAGGATTTTTAGTAGTAGATGTCAATCCCACAACATACGGAATTTAATGGTCATGAAATATATAGTTTTTACTGGCACAGAGATGAAAATACACAATATTTTTTTCTTTTAAAAGATGCTTGCATGTATAATGGAAATTTTGGTTACCACACATGGAAGAGGCTTTAGAGAAGCACAAGGCCAAATAAAAGCATAATCAAGACAGAGCTGACTAGAGATTTTTTGAGAACAGAAAAATTTCCAATTCACAATTCTATTCTCTAAATCATTCCAGAAAGTCTGATGAAAAATTTTGCCTGTATCTACAAATGTGACTTTAATTCTGTCCCTAGACCATCATGGCTACATCACCATGATTCCTTCAAGCACAAGCCAGATGAAAAGTCAACCTAGAATCCAGGCAAAAACAACCAAGCTTCACAGGCATCTGTAAAAGTACAGCATCAGAACAGCTGCAGCCATCTATTGCATGTTCTTCCAGTAGATCCTCTCTCCCTCTTGATTTTGACACCTGGCTGAGTTATCCAGTCCACTTTTACAGAAGCTTGAAACTTCATCCTTCCATAAAATGTGACCTATTAACCTTTCAACTCATTTTTAGCTTGCTTTCTTTGACTCAGCATTGTCTCCTCCTGCCCAAAGTGTTCTGTTTTCACAAAACATTACCCTTTCCTGAGGCTGTTTGTTTTTCAGTCTGCCTCAGCACCATATCACATCTTTCTGTGCTGTCCATAAAAAAATCAGGCACACAGTGCCAACCTGCATGAAGTAAAGGGCTATTTTTGGATTTTTTTAATTTTTTTTTTTAACAAAAATAGAGAGATTTAGCAATACAGAAAAGATTTAAAATTCAAGAGAGGCTGCTTTTATATATCAGCCATAACTACTTTGGGGCATGGACTGCATGTTACTACATACATGATGGGTATTAGGTTCATTCTGGGAACTACCATAATAGAAATAAATAATAAGATATTCTGTTACCTAACTTAGGAATGACTTAGTAATGGCAAAAGATAGGAAAATAAATAATTAGTTCAAGTTTACCTAATTTCATTGTCATATTTAGAAAAACAAGAACATAAATGTTGTTACTCTTAAAATATCTATCTATACAATCCAGCAATCTGTCTTTGACGGACACAATAAAATTTGATACTTGAAATAAAGAAAGGTCCAAGAAAAAAGTATAAAAAAAGATGTTGATTCATATGCCTCTAACAGAAGTTTAAGCCTACTCCTGGTACTACTGATCCAAATCCCAAGAGATGAGGTTTCACATGAACATTTACAAGAACTCTGGGTGTCCTTGCTATCCTTCTCTTCTTATCCCTAAGCAATTCTTCTTTAAGTCAGCCACGATCTCTGGCATATAGTTTATCAAAATATGTGACAATGTCTCACTTTATTAAAATATAGGATTCACCACAAACACATGTTCTTTGCTTTCAGTATGGACTAGAAAACCTATCTGTTTTTCCTAATACTAATTTTTATGGTACCTTGTATTCACCTCCAGTCTAACACAAGCAAACCCCCGAGACATTTCCTAGATTTTGAGTTAGTTTTAGCATTCTTTCCTGAAGCACTTTAAGGTCCTTTAAAACTAGTGATGCCCTTCCCATTCTACCCAATACCTTCAAAGTGCAAGTTAGGTCCAGCCCAATATTTCTGTCTCTACTGTAAACATGAGTCATTACCTTGCAGAGCTGGATCAGCTTCTCCCTTTTCACTGATGTAATATTCATTACACAGCGCAGCCAGTGCAGAGACTGCAGACTCCTGTAACAAAGGCAAAGCTGTGAACTTGATGTATTTACTAAGGTCATGCTTCACGATAACTGTGCTTAGAATTAAAAGGTTAAGGAAAAAGAGAGTAAGGTTTTTTTAAAAAAACCATTCCCTTCAGCTACTGACATTTATTTTCTTTTTATTTCTTCCCAATACTGGTTTAAGAACAGTTAAACAGGAAATCCATGTAAGAAAAAAACCCAGACTCAACCCTTATGCCTTCAAAAGTGCTGGCAAGCTAAATTAATATTCAAAACATTAACAGCAATGTAACAACTGTATTTTCAGTTCAGTTGAAAGACCTCCAGAATGACATTGTCATTCTCCAGAAGTCATTGTTTCATCTTCAATATATTGATGCCACATTGGTAATAAACAAACTGTATTTCTCCAGAAGGCTATAGAAAGGAAACACAGAAAAAGCATATGGAGTGAAGGTTATAAACAAAACCCCCAAAATATCCAGTATCACAACCCTTGTGTCTCAGCCTTAATTGGTTTAGAAAAGGATCAAAGGTTGTGTATTATGCCTGAACCTCCTACTCTTTGAGTAGTTTCGGTCACCAATATAGAACACAAAGCTAACACAGCTCCTGTTTCAAAAAGCATGTAACAAGTTTTCTCATAAAATTCATGGTTGAATTATACTTTTCAGCTAATAATGTAATGCTGACCAAAACAATAATAAACTTGAGAGTGTAAAAGAACTATGCTCTGTTCATTCCATATTAAAAGCAATGATACTTATTAATACCCATGTTCTCCAGGCACAGGAAATCTTAAATGATAACACAGGAGTCCTGTATAGCCTATTCATTCTACCCTCACAGACATCTCGGGCTCATTCTCTATGCAAAATCAAGGACTTGAAAAAAAATTGTATTCATCTGAATAATATTCTACCTACCACAGACATTACAGTGGCAAAATACACAGAATGGTTGATGGCTGTAGATCAGAGTCACAGAATGGTTTGGGTTGGAAGGTACCTTTAAAGGTCATCTAGTCCAACCCCCCTGCAATGAGCAGAGACATCTTCAACTAGATCAGCTTGCTCAGATCCTTCCCTTCCTAAAGAGAACGGTTTTCACCTTTAATGCATGAAGTTACATTGGAAGAGTATACTGTATGTCAGAAAAAAAGATTACTTTCAATGTCTTAAACATTGCCCTTAAAATTGTTTCTCTCTAAAATATATACAGAAATCAAGCGAGAACTGACATTTTCTAACCATACTTTGCTCGATATTAATTAACACTAACCAAACAAGTCAAAATTCTCTAAAGTCTACAATTAATTCTTCAAACTTGGTTTAGAAGTTCCAGTTATAAGGCTTACAAACTCTTTGAATAAATTGCTAACACCAAAAGAATATTTCAAGAATTCAAATTTCATCTTTTAATTTTCTGCAGTGATTTGGATACATTCTAGTCTACTCTGTCTTCCAAGGAAGACCTTAAAAGATAAGTTACCAGATACTTGCAATGGCTTTTTATCTTGTTTTTAAAAACCAACAACATGAACACAATATGTTATATTCAAATTGTCTCTGGGATGGCTACAAACTCTAACAGGGCAGACAAAAATCGTCTTTATAATTCAGTACTTGGGAAAATTAAGGTAAATACCTGGAGGTGTTAAGATCACGTACATAAAACAGCATGAAACATATCCATCAATGGATTTAATATTCAAAATTAGAGTAGCTCGAGAGCACAGTGAAAGGATTTGCATCAGCATTTAATGGAAAATTTAAGCACATTGTCCTGAATATCTCTGGTTGCTTACACCAATGTTCTTACTGTTAACAAACACACTCTCAGTACATCAGGCCCAAGGACATCATCTAGATATTCCTTTTAATTCTCACAAAAGTTCTCTGAAACTACCAAAATCAAGATATTTTACACCAAAACAAAAGCAAAATGTCCTATCAATAGACAACAGTAAGTAGCTTCAAGTAACCATCAGCCACTACTCACCACCAGCCAGCACCTGCCAATCACTTTGTCCAAATGTACACACCAGAATAACCCTTGTGACAGCTGTTCAAGTATTCATATTCAACTAATTAGATTCCAAGGAAAACAATGCACCAATGGAAAGCAAATCTATTTCTAATTCTGTATGTAATGTGACCACGTGACGAAGAAGGAACTATTGTACCTTTATATGCTGCCGTGCAGCGCTTGAAACAAGAGGGAGACTTCTTAGACTGTCATTTATCAACCACTGCCAGCCACCTGAAATAAGTAAGAAACATCATCAGCATTAAGTTTTCTTACTTTCTGAACTTCAACATCCTCTATTTTTCATAAAGACCAGCAATCATACATATTGTTGTATTTCTTTTGTTTTCCACAAGGAACAAGGTTGTGATTCTCGATTAGTATAGCTATTTTGGTTTGTTTTACCAGGCTGCTTGCGATAATGCTGAAAATCGACAGGAAAAACAGTTACAAAACAAATCTTCAAACAACGTCGCCATCTGATGCAGTATTTGTGTAGCTTTCTGCTATCTGTCAGGTCACCCAACCTTGCTAATCTTGCTTCCTTGAAAAACATAATCTGTTAATACTTTAGCTTAAAGAATAACTACTAAGATAATGGGAAGTTATTTAAAATATGACATACCAATTATTGGATCTCCTCTAAATGGCATTCTTGATAGTGACAACTTTTCAATTAAAGTGCAAACTGTAAGAAAATAAATTTGATCACTGGATAAATACAAAAAATGAGAAAATTAAGCAATTTTGTAGATACAACCACAACAAGTTACATTAGCATTAATTTTAAATTGATGAAAATTTGCAAACAGAAGTCCAAAATATGTGAAATTAGAACATAATTTCATGTATTTCAGACATGACACTTGTGATGCTTACATCCAAAAGAAGCTACTATGAAGTAACTGTTCTCTGACGTGAGTTAGTCCCATGATTTATGCAGATCCAGTGCTTGGTGGTATGTTTTTACCCTTTTGCCATTTAAGGTGCATGTGTATATACTGGCCACCTTTCTGTTTCTGTGTCAGTCTGTAAACGGCTACGTAGTATCGTTGATAGTAAACCAAGGTGAACAAAGATAACACTACAGCCACTAAAAAACTACTCAAATATATATAGAATCACAGAATGGTTTGGGTTGGAAGGGACCTCAAAGATCATCTAGTTCCAACTCCCCTGCCATGGGCAGGGACACCTTCTGCTACACCAGGTTGCCCAAAGCCTCATCCAGCCTGGCCTTGAACACTTCCAGGGATGGGGCAGCCACAGCGTCTCTGGGCAACCTGTGCCAGTGCCTCACCACCCTCAGAGGGAAGAATTTCTTCCTTAGATCCCATCGAAATCTTCCCTCTTTCAGTTTAAAGCCATTGCCCCTTGTCCTGTCACTACACGCCCTTGTCCAAAGACCCTCTCCAGCTTTCTTGCAGCCCCTTTAGGTACTGGAAGGCTGCTGGAAGGTCTCTCTGGAGCCTTCTCTTCTCCAGGCTAAACAATCCCAACTCTCTCAGCCTGTCTCCATAGCAGAGGTGCTCCAGCCCTCGGATCATCTTCGTGGCCTCCTCTGGACCCGCTCCAGCAGCTCCATGTCCTTCTGATGTTGGGGACCCCAGAGCTGAACGCAGCACTGCAGGGTGGGGAGGTCTCATGAGAGCAGAGGGGCAGAATTCCTTCCCTCAACCTGCTGCCCACGCTGCTTTGGATGCAGTCCAGGATACGGTTGGCTTTCTATAAACTTGAATGAGTTCTAAGCTTACAAAACCACTTTCAGAACAGTACTTTTTCTAGCCTTTCAAGGCTGTTTTGTGGAATAGAGATTAAACACAACGAACACTGCAAACTTTTACTGTACAATAGATTGTCTGCATTACTCAAATGAAAACTCAGCACTTAGGGAATACAGTATCTTTCATCTCCTGGTGATCCATTCAAATAAAACACATCGGTAAAAATCCATACTCACTATCTTACTGCTTTGGGACTGCTTTGGAGTTGGTGGGGAGGAGGGAGAGGACAGAACAAGCTACTATATAATGTTACCTTTTCATTTTCCTCGCCTCCCACAACTTAATCTTTGAATCTTACTCCAGGTTCTGTACACAGTTCATCATCTTCTTCATTTACAATCAACTTACTGGGCTCCAAATCTACTCTTGAATTCAGTGCTCACTATGGTAATGTCACACAATCAGGCTCCCTGTGCTCAAACTCCTTGCAATGTTGTATGTCAGCTGCTTTGTTCTGATATTTATTCACAGACAAGGTTAAGTACAATGTGACTGAACCCAAGTCTCTCAGGGTTCCTCCTTAGTTCTCTATGCTTCTTTTACTGTGGTTGAGACCATCATCTTCATCAGAAATGCAGGGCATTTGTGGAATATTTTCAGTTCTTCTCTTATTCCACCTACACAGTTGTATCACGCCAAAATACTGTCATCTGTACTTCCGCAATACTATGAAATATTCAGCTGCTTAAAAGCAAAAACATATTAAAAAATCCTACTTATTCTTTCAGTCTGCATTATCATGTCACAAGACTGTAAACTCATACAAAGATGAGTTTATGAGATCCCATTTCCCCCTTCACCCCTTCTGTATGATTGCTCTTCCATCTTGGTACTGAAACTCCTTTACCCACTAAGTTTGGATGGCTTCACACCTTCACAGTAGGAATCTGCTATGTAGCACCTCCGTCATTCAACTCATGAGCAGGAAATTCAAGTTGGCATTCTTTCCTTATCCACCCAGGCTACCTGGATGGATACTTTTTCCTGCAATGCCCTTCCTTTTACAGTGGTTCTGTATATAACAATGTTCAAAATCCATGTGAACAACCCATCACCTTTTCTGTGATAACATCCTTTCTACAAACTGTTCTTTATACGGTCTTTATTCTTTACCTTTGCACACATACAAATCATCATAAAATCGTTAGTTACATGATGGCCTCTGTCTTAATGGACAAATCACACTTCTTTTAGAGAGGAATCAGAGTAAATCAATTAAGGAAGCCAGCTCGATCCTCCAGAAAGTTCACTGTGTGCAACTATGGAAGGAGGGGATGTGTGACATCAAACCAAGAACTATCTCCAACTCTTACACAAACAGGGTCATTCACAATTGTGCTGGCAGCCAATGTTCTGGTGTACCTGTCTTCTGACTGGCCTCCAAACTTTGTATTTAATTACTGTGCGTACTTTATTTATGCATTCAATACAATATATGCAAAACAAACTGGAAAAAAGTAAACAGAAGAATTAATTACTGCACATTTTCTGCTCTCACACCATAGCCGAGATACTTACCAGCTGGTCTCATCAGTTCTCCACCTAAACCCCTGCAAAGCAGAAACAGAGCCTTCAGAGAATAACCCACCACAGGCAATCTGAGTGCATTGTCTAGTGAGAAAAAAAACCTCAAAACCACTTCAGAATGAAAGCAGATCACAAAATACCTGCAGATTTGTATTTGACCAACCTCAAAATACTTCTTTGTCAATCAACTGTTGTCCTGACTTCAGCATGATTTACACAAAACCTTCCTGAATATTTTACCTCCTCCTTGCAAAGATGCGGTCCCAGTCTTTCTAATTTTTAATGTGAATAATAAAAGACTGTCAAGTTCATTCTGCTTTCCTTTTCACTTGCTTCAGAAGCATTCCAAACCTGTGGGACTTGCCACAGGACTTTTCAGTCATACAGCCTCTACGAGCTTCTGACTTCCACAACTGAAAAGCAATTACATGCAATTTTTTAACAAAATCTTTACCTCTGGAACATTAAATAGACACTTCACCTACCAGTCCCCATCTTCACAAATGTTAACTGGTTTACTTTCCTGGCCAAGTTTCTCACCCTTCTCTCCTCACCCTCTCCTTGTCTGCTAAAGCCCCCTCCCAGCTGATTTTGCATTCATGACCACAAATGAGGGGGTAAAAACTCCTAACACATCAGAAAAGGGAGAGAAACAAACAGCTCAAGATGCTTCAGACTCTCCTGAAGTAAGTGTGTATTACAGAAGGATGGTCTCACCAGCTCAGACCTCGGGCTCATCCAGCCCAGTTATCCTGTCCGGACATCAGCCAGCCTGGCCACTGACAGCACTAGGAGGAGAAAGTCTGAACTAGGTAGAAAGTGGGGAAAGGAAGAAGCTTCCTGGAAACAGGAGGGCCTGTTTCCATTCCTTAGCCTCTCTTGTCTCTGGGCAGAGACATGTCTCCTCACCCTGCTGAGCAACATCTGCTGGCTACATGGATATCCCCAAGGTGCCATGAGCACTGCTTGGGGTGTTCTACTCAGTGTTACCCTCCGTGGCTTAATTTGTTCATTTTATGAACCTTTGACCCCTGCTCTTCCTTTGGATATTTCCTCCCTCAACTCCTTACTCTTGTCTCCCTTCATTTCTGCTGGAATATTTCCTCCCTGAGGTGTGCCAAACTCTTAATCACCTGTTTGTATGGCTGTGCTCTGGCAGAAACTCCCAGCAAGAGGGAGGAACAACAAAGGCTTTTTTGTTTATTTGCTTGGGGTTTGCTGTTTTTTTTTAAAAACCTTTTCTTCCCTCCTCCCTCCCCACAATGAAATTAGTAGCTATGCTCAGAAGGCAAACTTAGCAACCCTAACAACTCTTAGAACTTTGTTCTCCAATTTATCCTTTTATATAAGCTTCAAACGCCTAAACATTTTAAACAAGTTTTTCCATTCCATACAAGTAGGTGCCTCCTGTAACATGCACTGGGTTTGTGACTGCTCAACACTTTCATTAGTTTTCAGGTAATGCCAGATGCCAACTCCACAACATTCTCATTTGCCATAGATCAGCACTTCCCTTTAATCGGGAAACTTGCTTTTGACAATCAATACATGAAGCTCAATGTAGTAATCCACAGCCCAGTTCGTCATTGTAGGAAGTAAGCACAGATTCCACATCCCCATGCTGATACGGTCTTTGTATTATCTACCCCACCTTCCTGCCATGTTGTCTGCTTTCCAGCTTCTAAAATATTTAAATTAGAAAATAAAGAAGTGATGCAAGGAGTCGAGACAGAGGCAAAAATAGAAGAAAGATGTGGCAAGGCTTGCTTCCTCTTTAACATTTCTTTTCCCTTTATTTTGTCCTCACCCATTCCTTGCCTTTTGTCTGTTGTCTTAACTGCAAATGAGTATAAAATAATGATCTTGTAAATTTGTTTGGTGTGCAGCAGAGTCTGCTGATGCAAGGATTCAGATACAGACTTCTGTTCAAACTACAAAGCAAGAACTGAGTCATAAAGGCTGCTCGTCTCCACTTCTTCACACTGCCAATAAGGAAGTCAGGCCACTTAAAGCTACTCTTATGGTAATAATTTGACAGCTATCCCTTCCTTTGGCATTACATCAACTCTATTTAATTTCAGAGTTTAGAGCTTCACTGAGGATTGTTGTCCCTGTGCAAGAATGAAGAATGGTGACAATGATTTGCATAGTAAGGTTTCCATGTTACACAGAAACTATAATCAGATCTATGTTTGAAGGCTCTGCGATACCATGTGTTCTCCTCTGCAAAAATTTTCAAGTTATTCCTTGCCTAGACATCACAGTATGTCCATCAATATACCTAAAATTTTTCTCCTTTCCACAGCTCATACATATTTCAATTCAAAGAACCGACTTCTATCATAACCCGAGATCTTTCCTCAGTCAGTGTTTAGTTTGTCAAACGTGATGCGCCATCTTTCTATTAACTTTATCTCGCTCTACAGTATTTCACTAAATTAAAAAGATACGGATCTACCTAATTCAGACATTCTGAGTTTTGCTGTACAGTCATTATTCTCTCTTTTTTCTTCCAAAGACACATGTACAAGTTGCATCACATTATTAGATGTACCTGTTTCAAGGTTTAATTATTAATTCAATTTGTAAATTGACTGATGCAGTGCCCAGGTTCCATGAGCTCCTAAGCATTCACCTATGTGCAGTTCCACAGCAATGCTTCTCTCCTAGAAACATCTTACGATGAGTCACAATTTATTTGTGGAAAATATAATACAAATGTATAATCCCTTGTAGAACAGATGAATTAAGACTACTGACTTAAGATTACTGGTATCTATTTTAAAGTCACGTAGGCCAGAATCAGAACAAAGGACAGTGCTGTTTTCAGTGCATATAGAAGGGTTTTTGTTGTCAGAAGTTCAGAATTCATCTTTAAGATTATAAAAATTTACAGTAACTGAAGCTGCTTAGAATTGAACAGCATCTACATTTTCATAAACATCTGAATCTGAAGTTAAAACTACTGGAATAGCTGAAGAGATTCAATTGCAAATAATTTCCAAGAAGCTAAGAACACCTGCTGAATAAGTATTTTCATCTCCGTATGAATAGTAACCAATTGTTTTCCATGGGAACTCTTTGTCTCAAATAGAACTGAAGTATCTTAAAAGGTCCAGGTTGCACACTTACTGGACTTGGAAGTACGAAATGGCTTTATCAGAAGGTACACGGAGGAGGAGGGAGATATCTTTGAGCCTGTGAAAAAGCCTGTGTATTTAATAAAGCTCTAATAGCCACTCCTTGAAGATGCAGAGAATAAACTGTACTGACAAACACCTATTTTTGGGCTACTGTAAATTCATATGCTGCCTGTACATGTTTTGTATTGCATTCTAACACCAGAAGACTACAGGTGAAATCCTGGCTCTATGGAAGTAAGAGTTTTCCCAGTGACTTCAGTTAGTAGCAAAAGAATTTCACCTTATAACTCTTCAGAACGTAATGTAGCACGATCTCCTAGAACACCATGCTACTGGGTGCAAAAAACAATTTAAACTTGGAAGAATTGTTATGATGAGCTTTGTTGCAAGGTTGAAATTATTTGCTGATTAAGTTAATATGCCTAAAAAACTCTTTTACGTAGATGACTGCCAAGACAGACATTCGCCCTAAAACCATCAAGATTAGTTGCTACCTTAAAGGTCTTTGAAATGAGACAAGTTTTTCTTTTGCCTAGCACCTGCCAGCACCCACGGGCGACCTTACTCTTTTGGAAAAGCTGAAACTCTTGAAGATGATAGTCCAACTTATACTGGCTACTATTCTAAAAATCTGAAATTGCTCGTCTCGCATAGCTGACCGTGTAATACACGTGGCCAGTCTCTCCCTACGTTACAAGAATTGGATCAGAGCAAAACTTGGCATGCAGCACATTGCACTAAATGAATCATCCCGTGTGGGAGTCGCTCACAAACACTGTGCATCCCATCATACCCAGCTCTGATTGGAACCCTGAAGGCCCAATAAATAGAACATTTGCTGAAATACAGAAGTGCAGTGCAAGTACTTGGAAGCAGCCCAGCACCTCTATCTGCAGCACTTCCATATCCGTCCCTGAATTACGTTGTTACCCAACTCTCTGTATTAAGACCTACATTATCAGACTCAGAATTGGCTGCAAGAAAAGAGATAAAAAAAAATTCTGAACATCTCTTCAGCTGAATATTCAGTCAAGAACCTTATATCAGATGATGCATTGTTGAAGAATCTTAACAGAACTGCTATTAAAAATACTTTTTATTGAGGAATTTTCATATTGAGGACTAGTAGAAGGTTTCAGATGCACTACAGAAATACATGTGCTGTGATAGAAAGATACTAACCATGCTGGTTCAGTGGAAGTATAACATAAATCAGGCTGACCATTAACACTATGTTTAAACTGGCAGACTGACTTCCTATCTCAAGTAAGACAGTTTAAGGCAACAGATGGCACAAGTTTTGGTCTTAGGTTTTTATATATAAAAGTAATGTCTGAAGCAAATAAAATACAGGTCAATTTTGATAACTCTGTTACCCATATAACACAAAACAGGCACAACAGACAAATACTCTGTTGAAGTGGCATGGTTTGCACATGACTTGCTGTAACTAGTGCCCATTTAATACGGAAAATCAGGCTCATTGCGCAATGCTCAACTGGAAGTGCACATGCAAATGCACAAACCAACCCGCTCCTCAAGACAAACTAGTGCATCGAAATGTGTCAGAATCAGGACTAATGGAAGGAAGTACATACTGGATGTGCCTGGACTTGCATTCTCCTTTTTCAGCATACTATGGTAAACCCAGAAAAGGACTCACATAGGACAGGAAGACAGAAAGATACTCACATTTTAAAAAAACTAATACAGTAGAGGACGGGATTTTCTACAATTAGCATAAACAAATTTGATTGCTTCAAGTATACTGAAAATTGAGAGACAGTGCAGTGTAACTCAAAAGTTGGACTGTGCCCTGTCTGAAGGATAATTCATGGCCACCATTCAAAATCAGGTTAAAGACTTACAAGAACTGCTAAACAAATTAAGACAGTTAGTTAAATGAAGGTCTCTATTACAGCTCTTTGGCTTTATCTTTTTTGACTTGAGGTACTTATGGATTCAATGGAATCCTAAGCACGAGACAACCAAGAAACTCACGATCCATTTTCCAGGTTAAAATTTATAAATTATAATTTTTAAATAAATAAAAACCACAAGATTTTGACCCTTTACTTCCTTTTCCCTTTCTCACAGGCCAACGCAATTTCTGAAAACAGCTTAAACAAAGCATTAAAGTTCATTCAGTCCACAAAAAGACAGATATTTTGTTGCCAGAAGTGAAAGCAAAATACCTAATAAACAGTTGAAACGTGGTCTGATGTTTTTTGTTAATGCTGTTTAAAAATTAGAAACACAAGCAAAACACAAGTTTTCAATATTCCTACAAGATGTTGTTACACCAAAAATTCCCAGTAGCAATTTCTCGAATGGAAATCTTTGGAATATTATGTGCAATAATTACTCATCACAAAACAAGTTTGGCTTGTTTCACTAAACGCTTGCCCAGCAACACTCAAATTGCTGGTTTGTTTTTATAACCTAGTTTATTTTTCTTGTCCTATTTCAAAATATTTTATGCATACCGATATTTTAAAATATGGATTACAGTAGACATCTCTGTCTCAGCCTAAGTATTAGAGTGAACAGCGGTGAATCAATTTTGCTCGGAGCTGAATTAGAAGTCTTATCTAGAATGAAAACATTTCTGTAGGCATCTTATAAATACCATTGAGTGCAAGAAGTGCACATTATGACAAAAACAAATTACACCCAAGCTCCACCCTGACATTAAAGAATTTATGGGAGCCAAGACAGCCACCCACAAAGACACTAATATACAGTATCAGCATTAAAACCATCCACCAGTACAAGCTAACTTTGGAGTGGAAGTTATACATCAGTATACATGACCCTCAAGAAGTAAATTTTAACATTTTTTCAGAAAGTTTCAGGATATAAAAACTTACATAAAAATTCTTTAAATTATAATAAATACTTACACAAAAAACTATTTAAGGTTTACTGTTTTCAGATGTGTCATGTGCAAAGAAGTGAACTAAACTGCCCAAAACCTCAAAGAACTTCTCAGTTAAAGCAGAAAAAAAACCTTCACCCACATATACAATCATCAGGGAGTACAAGTCATTAATGATGTTTTGAGTTCCTTAAATTTAGGAACAAACTCTGAAGACACATACCAGTTTTAATTCACATTTACTTAACAGTTACTTAGGCAAACTCCCTTTATTTCCTGGAAGCTTCAATAAATAGGAAATGAAAAACAACTCGGAGAAAACTCATTTACATTTTCTTTGGCTCAAGAGTTGAGAAATTGCATCGAACCTTTTGTAATACTCCTGCCTACTCATTACACAGGATGAAGAAAGTAATTCTAGAATTTAGATAGCAGTGCCTTTAAAAAATAAATAAATAATTTTTGGACTCATTAAGCTATTAGTTGAAAGTTATTTCTATAGACCTGTTAGAACCATACAAGTACTACAGCACGGGTGAATAATGGGAAAGAAATCCATTACACACTGCTGAAGCCATGGATTAGTGAGCACATTCTGTTTCACGCTCCTTCCTTCCTTTAACTGTCTCTATCACAGTATAGAGACCAGTACTTACCACTTTCCCATTAATCTAACACGCCTGTGAGTTGCACTCTCTTCACAGCACAACCATTATAAAACGACAGCAGCCCCTGTAATAGGCAGACACAGCCAGGAGGATGCATGTGCTTGCATTGTGATGAGCTGCGAGAGACTGGCAGTCTGTGGGACGTGTAACTAACTTGTACAAACCAGAAAGCCCCCTAGGATCCTACTGTTTTCATCCCTTTTAATTGATGCTTTCCAATATGAAAAATTCTTTTGCATCCATTTTCTTACCTGTACAATTGACGACTGCAAAGCTGGGGGGTGAGGGAAAAGCAACAAATATTATTAGCAGTTTGTTTGATACAAGCGTTTTCGTATTTCCTCCTCGCATGCAAGGTATATATTCAGAGCTATGTAACACTGTGGATTACTCTAAAAATAAAATTAAAAGGAAAAGTCTTTTTAAAAAACCCTCTCTATAACCATTTGAATTTTACATTCAATGAAAATTAATTTAACACATTCATAAAGCAGAAGCTTTCACCTATGCACAGAATTAAGCAAGTACCTATGTGCTTTGAAACATAATGGGTAAATGGTGAAGCCTGACAGCTTTAGCACTTTAGAACTGGCACTAAAGGCACTACAGATACTGCAGAAAACGAGCAGGAGCCTGAAAGCTGAGGTATTGTCTGTTCTATAAGGTGAAGAAATAGGAGTCAAAAGAAAAAAATAACATGGGATGACTTAAAATTGAAGGGACAAGTTAGGAAAAATTATCTCTGCAGAAGCATTTTAAATTGCTATGAGCAGGACAAGGTAGAGACAAAGACAATGCACCAGTTGAAACACAGAACGACTTGCAAGGTGTATGAAGAGGTAAATCATGGATGCAAGGATTTAGCAATGAAATCACAACAAAGTTAAGAAAAAAAAAAAGAATAGAAAGAGGAGAGAATGGACTCACTAGGAGATGTCTCTTGAACACAGTCACATTAAGGCAAGAGCCATACATGCATCTGCAAGGCCAGTCAGTAGGTACAGAAAGGGAAAGAAAACCAAAGCAAAACCCCATGCAGCTATTTCAGAAGCGTAACAGACACATCAGAGAAAGGAGCTTAGCTAAGGAGCTGGCAGAACAGAAAGGGACCAAACACAAAATTATACTGGAGTAAGACACACAACCAAAGACATCCAGCTATCTGTCTGGAGGGTGTGTTGAAATTCGGATTTGTGAGACTGTTTACTTTTGACAAGGGGAAGAGGAAGGTGGAGAACAGCTGTCTTAATTGCAAATGTTTGTTTAAAAATAATACAACATACCAGGTTAAAAGATACATTTATACTTGCTACAAACCTCTTGATGGATTTGCTTAAGTCCCTCCAATGATTTTTCACTGAAATAATACGTTATAGATCTGTAAAGATATACAAAATTTGTAAGACTTGTTTCCTAATCATGCTATAAATAATTTTTCTTCCATGACTTCCTTGCACTTTCAAACAGGAAAAACAATACTTTGATTTCCCAATTACGCTCAACAGAAATATGCAATATTTAATTTTAAATCATTCAGCATTAAGTTCTTTCCTTATCCTGTAGCAAACTCATTCTTAAAGGACTATAAAAAATTAGTGTCACTAATAACATGATAATCAGTAATATACCAATAACCCCTTTCAGCTTTTATTTTTGGACTCCAACACTACTGTGACTTTTCCATCAGTTTGAAGTATTTCCTACAACTAAAAATGCTCTGCATCTTTTTCTCCATCTTTTCAACTTACTTGAAAAGGGAACTCTTAAGACAAACACAAATTCTTTTGATAGATACTGCTGGAAAAAAAAAATTCCTATTTGTCAATAATTAAAGCCATAAAAACCAGTGCACTTTTGATATCTATTAATTGAATTCATCTCAGTATATTTAGCTTGCACAAACAACGACAACATTAAATTTGTTGGATGTCACCAATTTAGACATCTCTACGTTAATCAGAGAGTAGTTAACCAACTTTCAGAATGAAAATTACTCAGAAAGCCTGGTTTTTTAAAATACATTTCTTCAGTGTACATAATCTGTGAATCCTGCAGTACTGTATTTATTTTCAGTGAAGTTTGCACTCTGTAGTCTTATTTTCCACTGCTTTGATCTTAAACAGCCACTCATCCTAATTTAAGTCACACTAGTATAAAATTTTACTGCTAACGTAACTTCCAAATTCTAGTTTTTGCAATAAGGATTTTCAACCATTTTTCACACGTGATTTCTGTGACGTTAAAGCAAAGATGTCTTCAAACGATTTTGTCAATTATTCTGTCTTCATCACCTACATGTAATACATGTGTGCATACACACACAACCATATATATATGTGTGTGTATATATATCTCTCTCTATATATATCTCTCTGGACCAGCATTCAGTAGCAACAATTAAATCTGTTCAACTCAACAAGCTACTCGAGGAGCTATTTCTGTAACACTGAAGACAAAAGACTGTCCCTTCACCAGGAAGACAGCATACTTACGGGGAAAGGGGGCTTAATCTATATTTAAACAGTAACTTTGAACTCTCCAAGTAAGGCAGAAAATGATCTCACTTTCCTGATGATTAATTTAAACTTAAGTTTATAATATCAATGAATAAAATCTGAAGGCTTGGCGTGACTGATCAACACAAACAAAAATTCAATGGAAAAGAAGTTCAGTAAGATGGAGATTTTCATAATTATACTCAGGAAGCTTTCAATAGACTAGACATGAAAGGAAAATTTATAGTCAAGATAATCTTGCATTTATACCTATTATTCTCTTCTGCTAGTTTACACAGTGCATGGGTGATCTCAGCACAGGCAAGAATTGCCCCATGGCGTGTGTGCAGATCTGTGCCCACTGATAAAGGCAGAAGTCTTGGCAAAACTGAAAGAGATCAAATAATAATTTTTTTTTTTTTTCAGCAAAGCATAATAACAGATCACAGTTCTAAATATAAACATGTCTGCCTAGGAATAACACAGGAAAACCATTTCTGGAAAGTCAGGTCAATATATCCTGGCTATTATGTGAAAACCGAGTTTTATAAACATAAGTAAATTCTGACAAAGCATACTAAACCACACCAAGAAATTCTGTACCCACAGCTAGCTCCCTGTTTGCAGTAAATAAAATAACATACTGGCTATTAGACATTAGGCTGGCTGAGCAGCAAGGGCAGTGAGGCTTGTGCTTCCATGTAAACTGCCACCTTCCCAGTGCACCCTAGGGAGCCCAGGTCAGACCTGTAACTACAGATCCACCTGGATGTCAGCTGCTGTCTTTCAGCCATACTAAAAAGCAGCTAGTACATCCTCAGAATCTTGAGTGGGCCAAGCAAAGGATCCCAAATTCATGCTACAAAACATTTGATTACACACAGAACAGTCAAAAAGGAATTCTTGTGAAGATATCAGACTGGACAAGACAAAACAGATCCCTCCACCTTTACAACATCAAAGCTACATCAACAAAAGCTAGGAATTTGAGGGCTAGCTGCCTGAATTGTTGCAACAGAACTCACCCATTTATTCATCTTGGAACTGGTAGGGTCCCGTGTGGCTGGACAACTAAAGTCCAGCTCCCAGACAGAAAAAGATCTGGCAGCACTTTAGAATTTTCACATAAAATCTGAAAACTGGCAAAGCTATTAGTGTCACTACACTGTGTTAAGTTGCAGGGGAAATCTCAATTTTTATGAAGTCATGGTGCATGTTTAAGTCTTCTTAACACGTTTTTGCTACATAAGCTAGAACGCTTGGTACGGCACGCTATGCAGAACTTCATTTGTTACCTACCCACGTTTGCCATGTATTCAGGAGCCCGTGGAGTAAGGTTATGCAGAGCTCTGGTTGAAAGTTCTCGAACAACACTGGAGATGTAAAAAAGTATTTTTGAATTTTTTGCGGGTTAGCAATTTAGTAGAAGTAATGTATTAAAAAAAAAAATGTCAGGAAGGGAATCCTGTCCCTGACCAAAATAAAGACCCCAGCAATATCAAAAATTACAGTATTGTCCATCCATCCTATGCTTCCCCCCCATCAAAAAAAGCCAACAAAAGGAAACAGTGGGTCAAACAGACAGCCTACAGCTAGCTTTTAGCTATACGAATAGAACTTATTGCTGAAAGAGACAAAGAAAAACGTAAGTGTGGATGGTGGCACCTGAGGGCTTATTCTGTGCATTGGCAGGGACACTACAGTAAACTATTATTATTTCTCATGATGCAAACTAGTATCAGCACTGATATAATCTCATTTGTGTTATATGTACACATTTTAATCTTCATGAACACTGAATATGACTAAGTACCATCTCTATGCATGAAATCTACTTTAATTATGATAATTGTATGGTGATGGTGTTTATCCCTCATATACACTATATACCATATAAATGTGTTTTATTAATCTATTAACAGATTGAGGTCATGGCAAAAAGACAAAATTCATAAGCATGTTTTAAGTGACAATATGCGAGGGAGGTATAGATGACATCAGCAAGTACTTGTCCAGTTTTCTGCAGTCAAATGCTATTGCAAACTTCAGTACAAGTAAAATTTCTAAAAACAATCTAGGAAAGCATGATGTGCAGAACAGTCAACTCCTGGACGTTAAGAATCAGTCTTTATGAACTTACCTATCCCAGTGGTTAATCTTCATGTTAAATAAATGATCAATCATTGGCTGTGTATACTCAGGAAAGCCAGAAATATACACACTGAAAAAGAAATGTCCATATGGTAAGAGTCAAAAATCAACATCTGCGTGCATTTTAACACAAGATACTCCAAAGATTTAAATCCTCTGAGTTTAAAGCAACAAAAAAAATTACTTAGACATGCTTTCTCCTAAATGAGATGCAGTTGAAGGAAATAATACAACAGGAAATATTTTACAATTATTGGAAAAAAAAATTAAATCACTTTTGTAAAACTCTTTCAGATTCTCTATAAAAACTACTATCCATACAAAAGCTTGACAGCAATGAAAAGCAAAAATAAACATTCGATTCCCATTGGTACATTCAAGAAAAGGTAGGTGTGAATATTAACTTACATCATTATTTCAGATTGGAGAAATGGATTAATGATGTAACACCCAGCACGCAGTAAAATTAAGTTATAGAAACGTGCTACAGCTTCATAAATACAACGGTCTGAAATGGAACACGGATTTTCAATTTGTCCTTTTTAAAAATCATACACAGAAAGAGAGTTGTGACAAAAAAATGTTAAAGCTGCCAAGTCAAGACCTAAGATGTAAGGAAATACCAGAATTAATTACTTAGATAGCCTGCACAATTAACTAACTTTACAGCCACACTTGCTTTCCAATCTTTAGAAGCATCAACTACTGAAAGGTGAGGTCAAAAGAAGTTAAGTGAAATGTTTTTTCAGTACATCTGATATATGTTAAATAATCCTGGAAAGCTAAACAACCAGTAGAATGTATCCATGTTACAACGGCATGCACAAGGAGACAAAATTAAGGACACAAGCATTACCTTGATTTTACCTTTACATATCTTTTGAGTGATTAACTTTGGAACCATAATAGTGTTCCATTAATAAATGTGAGTGTAATTAGAAGGAAAACAAAGACAAAAACCAAATACTGTTGCGTGTTACTGTACTGATATCTAAGTAATTCATCAGAAGAGCAGGAATCCTTAAATCCACAGCACAGCCCTCAGTTACTTGAGTCAATACAGCATACAGAAGTACTATCTACTACTGCTACAGCCCTACAGGGGGATTAGACAGTTGGTTTAACTGGTTGTTGATTGCCAGCAGAGAAATTATAAAATTCATTACTTTTTGGTTCCTTTACTTGTTCTGGAAGAACATAAAATAATAGACTCACTTCCCCTACCATATTTCAGTTCTCTTTTTCATAGTTGCTTTTTGAATCCTAGTTTTGGCACTCATCATTCTTTCTAACCTGATCTAGTAGAAAGTGTCCCTGCCCATGGCAGAGGGGTTGGATCTAGATGATCTTGAAGGTCCCTTCCAACCCAAACGATTCTGTGATTCTAATCTAGACTTCCTTGCCTAGCTCATCAAAGTTGGTAACTACCTTTAACTACAATCCTCATCTTTTGTACCCTACTGAGTATTTAATGCAAGTAGACTTGGATACAAGTCTACCCTTGCCAGTAATGTTGCTGGTATGATTTTTTTGATTGCTCTCTACTTAGATTAAGAAGCTTCCTCCTTAGCTCTGCTTTTACCAAGCCCAGAACGCTTGGAATCACATAATCTCTTTACTCTTAGTTCATATAAAATGGGGTTCTTCTACCTTCCATCCTCAGAAATAGATTACGATATTTGAGCTGAGTCCTCTAAAGAACATCCAGTAAAAACTTTCAAAAGGGCACCTAGCATGAAAAACTTCCATAAAAATATTTAATGTTAAACGATACAAGCAACTATTCATACACATGCATATATTATATAATACATGATACTGCCTCTCTACAAGACCATATCATCATTTATTAACCAAAATCAAATGCAATTGTAGAAACTGACACATAATTTTTGAGCTTTTATTGCTCAAAGGAATTTAGTAGTACCACTGTCCAAACCTGCACAGCTTCCTTTCCTATAGTGGCATTATGCCAGGATACAGAGTGTCCCAGGATTGTTAGACCTGGGTGGGGAAGGATAGCTAGAGATTCTAGATCTAGAATATGAACCTCAAGCTGCTTTTTCCAGTTACAGAAGCAATTACATCACCTTAAGGCATACCAATCAGAAAGGTCCAGTCTTCCCACCACATCATAATGTTACATGTTTTCTGTGCAGCCAAATATATGCTTATGTACTTTTTCTTTGATGTTACTCAGAGAAAAATAAGGAAATAATTAAGTATTGACCCAAATGATTACATCCTGCTTGAAGAGCAAAGTGGTGAAGATTTTTAAAAGTTATATGATGCATGAGATGGCAAATATTTTATAAAGAAGAGTTCGACTAATAACACTGAACATGGTTTCAAGGACTCATGCTACTAACTGCATAAGATTATTTATAAAGAATTTACAAATTTATTCTTTCTGTTGCACAACTGAAAGAAAGGCACAAAAGTGAAAGAGAGAAATCAACAGTAAAAATACTCTCAGATAAGTAACACTCCTACAAAAGCCCTGGAAATCACAATGAAAGTAGTAATAAATGAGCACTTGGGGGGGGGAGAAAAAAAAAAAGAATTTAACAACTCAGCTTTCGAAAAGTAAAAAGAACAAAATTAGTCTCCAAACCAAAATTAGAAAAGAGAGAAAATAAACCCTGCTGTGTCAATTTTGAACATTTCCAATTTTCTGCTAGTACAAGAAGCCAGAGTTTCCAAAGCCACGCCGATGCCGTACGCATCCAGTGCAGCAGCGCGCACCAAGCCACTGCGTTTCCCCAGCGCAGTAGGCGGCAGCTCTGGGCAAGAGTGACTCCAGGGAAGAGTGTAGGAGGAGGGTGTGGACCCCAGAAGGAACAACAGTAGGTAAGAGGTGAAGATACGTAGAGACTGACATGATTATGCGCAAAAGGGACAACACGGAGATGGACAGATTAATGAAAAAAGTAGTCGAGGAGAGGACAGAGAGTTCCAACACAAATTATCTCAAGAATCTGCTCATTGGAAGTCACAAAGTTGGCAACAGAGCATAATCCATCTTATGCCTGTTTGCTGTTTTTGTTCCCCAAGAACATAATCTCTTTGAGCCTTTCTAACCTGTTGGCTTCTGAGCAACATGCAACTCCACAGGGCGATTTATCTGACCTATCTTACAATGGTCTGAATCACCTTCTGTAGGTGCCTGTCCCTGTGCATTGGCTATGGAGAGCGGCTAGACACCTAGGCTAGACTGTCTGTCCTAGACAGCTAAAGGTAGAACCCAGCCCTCAGTCTTTTTCATCTTCTCATAAGGAAGTGCAATCTTACGTTCATTTTAGTCATCCTGTGCACTCAGCTTGCCTCCGAATTCCCCTGACTTCAGCTTTATTGTATTTTCAGATAGCTGATGAGAACAGAACACAGTATTCCAAGACGAGCCACTGATTTACAACCACACCAGTTTCGGTATTTCCCATTAAGGTTTTTGCAGACTCCAAACTGCAACGATCAGTCTGGGTTTTTTTGAACACTGCTGCATACTGTGGTTAGATTTTCACTGAGCTACCTATGGAAAATATAAGCACTCAAGTTAAAGGTCTACGCACAGACCACAAATTCAACAACTTATGCAAAGTATTTTTTTAAATGGGCATTAGTTTACTTTTGACTCACTTCAGAGTCTATCTGTCATCACAACAGCCTCTCCTTTTACCAGAACTCTTCAAAATCCCCTAGTCTTCTCTAGTGTTGACCAGCTAAGACAGTTTTGTGACACCTGCAAATATTGCCTCTTAGCAGCTTCCTCCATGTAGACAAGGAAATCATGGTCAGATTTTCGCCATGTCTTATGTATAATGAATCCAATGCAGAAATAAGAAAAATCAACTTTTAATTTATTGAAAACCAACAGGAATAAACATAATGTTCAGTAAGCTGAAAAAATCAGACAAACATTTTATTATGTAAAAGAGGTCCCTCATGTTTAGAAAAACTAATGCTTGGAAACTTACCTTATAGTCAGATAACAGTTAACTCTGTTACCAACAGCAAAATAATCAGCTGCAGTTAGAATGTCTATGCCATGTGGAAAAGTGCCCTACAAACATCACAGGGAAGAGAGGAGAAAAAAAAAAAAGAAAATATTATTCAAAAATGTAAAATACTTTCCGAACAGCCAACGTTATTGAAAACAAATCTCTTACTACTGTCCAAGCACTGAAAAAATACAATTTGTAATTTATACTGAAATCACTTGTACTAAAGAATATCGGATATAAAAACAGCAAAGTATCTAGTCTTACTTAAGAGTCAATGATAAACAGTCAACGTAAACAGCAGCAGGTAATAAAGTATTATTATTAAAAAACAATAGTCATCTTAAACCTTTGAGTCATATCCAAATGTATATTTGGAGAACGCATGACTATGTACATACACAAAAAATTATTTCTCTACAAGAAAGTTTATATAAATATAAACATGTTTTCAGTTTAGGACAATGAACAAATATCTCCTGCGAGTTTTATGAAGTAGAAAATTAGAGATTTAGGCACTAAGAAATAAAACACATGTAGAATACAAGGAAGTTCAATTACTGAAACCTGAAAATTTCTCTTTCTATATAGGCAATGTAATTCAGATATTCAGAATTTTGATTGGCTATGACTGATTTAATGCAGTATTACGCAGCACGGCTGTGTTTTGGAACGGAGGAGGCAGCTTGGCCTCCACAAACCATAATTAAGCACAAATGGAAAAGAGCCAGCTGAAAGACACTCTGCTCACTTACAAAAGGGTCAATCATATGATTTTTAAGCAATAAGGTTATGTGGAAGTACAGGTTCTGGATATGATACAGTTCTGTTTGTTTACAGCTCAGTCATCCCTTCCACGTTAGGATACAGCCATGCAAAAATAGTAGAAAATATCTCTAGATCTAAGCCTGAACAATTAAAGAAGTATTATTGAAAGTAGCAGGAATCTGTCAGCTACTGTGGAGGTCTCATTCTGGGAAGCATAATGCCCACAGTCCAAAAAAGCCAGGCCTGTAATCTGACTGAGCCAAGAGGGATACATACAACATTTATGGCTTATCCAAGAGACTACTTGCAAGCCCTAATAACTCAAAGGTGAAATGAATGCAGCCTCCAAAAGCCTAACGAAACACTGATCAGGAATAAAAATGTACACAAGAAATATCTCCGTATGATTTACGGCCAAGCAAGATGACGCACAAGGAAACATGTAAGAATGCATGCTGTACATCACAGCTAAACCATTTCACTTCCAGCTCCTAGTTGGAGTTTGCTATTTATTACTTGGCTGCAAGTGTGCCAATTTGATGCCATCTCACCAAAGGTCATGGTGCCACAGTGCACGTCAGTGAGACAGCAAAATTCCTGAAACCAAGTTCAAGAGTACAGAGGTCATGGCCGATGGGAGAGACAGACTTCAGAGAAAAGCTAACAGTTCCTATTCTGTCAAAACACCTCCAACTTTCTTCTGCAATATAAAAGTCTGTCTTATTAGGAGTACGTGCATTTCTCATGCTTTATGCTTAAAAAACAATTCTTCAAATTTTCCAAAGTTTTCATTTACATAAATGACATTTACATTGCACAAGTTACAATGGCTTCTTTTTCCGAGGCCGTAAGAGCAGCTCTTGGGCTCAGGACACGTTGAACTGCAAAGGGGAAGCAGGCAGGAACCCGGCAGTAAGTGAGGGAAACTATTTTCTCCACTTATTTACTATCAGCATTGTCACTTCAGGTGGAGAATATGTTTCAGCTCCTTCCAATTCAGGGCAAGGGTGTCTCTGTCAACACATTGCATCCAGGTAAAGAACGACAGAGGGTGTATCCACTGATTAAGTAACTATTTCCCTAGGCAGTAAGGAATAGTTCAGTAAGTCAAATTTCTGGACTTCTACAGGAACCAACTGCAGACTGATACTGTTCTTCATGCCATGAAAACTTACTATTCCCTGTAAACTCCTCCTTAACATGACAATGTATAAGCTAAAACTGTTTTATGTTCTACCAACATTGACAAATTTGAATTGTGTGTCAAAGCAAAGTCAATAAGGCAACTTTCTGGTTGTAAGCTAATGTCGACTGTACTCCTCTGATTAAGAAAAAAAAAAACTCCACCAAATTTTTGCCACATGCAAGCATTTCGAAACCTGCAGCACCCAGGAGCCCTGGCTCACCTAGAAATGAAGGCACAGTAAGGTTTTACTTCATTCAGTGCCCATGAAGTGGAAGCAGGCTGAGTCGCTGCGTGCAGACTAACCTCTCCAGGGCAGCAGCTGTAGAACCAGCAAAGAATCACCCTGGCTTCTACTTATCACAGACCTAGTTGGGTCAGGTCACCAAAAATACCTACTCTCTTCCTCCTATTCTTCTTGCACCCTTTCCCTGCTATTAATTCTATCTAGAAACATACACATCAGGTACACATTGCTTAATATCTGTAGCTCTAAAGGAATGATATCCTGGCGTAACAGAGAGATCTTCAGGTATCAGAGAAAGCTAGACAGCATTTTAACAAAGATCCCTTAAAAAATAGCTTACTGTTAACAAAATTTGCTTTAACCGTGCTCACATGTCCCGCTCTGTCACAAGAACCACTAAACCATTTCTCCCACACTTTTTGTGCTGTAAGTTGTATATTCAGCTTTATTAGTTCCTGAAGAGAAACCAGGAAACTTTGAAATCCAAGTCTTTACCCTATTTGCTTCTCCTCCAAGGTTGCAAATTATGAAGTTGTTTGAGCATTTTAACTACTTAAATATTGCTAAGTTACATAGAAACCTACCACAATACTTTTTTTTCAAAGCACTCAGGTACCTCCAAAAGTGACAGATTTCTCAAAATATCTAGACGGTTGCGTTACGGTACAACAGGCAAAACCAAATATTGAGTTGAAGACTCTCAAGCCTAGTTCATTTTTTTATCACCAACCACAGCAATGATTGTGCAGTACATTTCAGCTGATCCACTTCTACTGAAAACTAGAAAGTCAATGAAACAAAAGAATAACCAAAAAATTGTGCTTTTCCTGCCTTAAAAGTGTTGACATTTCCAAGGTGTATAATGGCTGTCATACATGCTGATTTTGCTTTTTGGAATGACTTAAAATTACCACAAAGCTCATTTTCTTCCAAAACCAGACTACTGGAATAAAACTCACATCTCAGAAAAATATTCCAGAAGAATCTGTTTGCTGATAACAAAAATAATTATTTTGTGACATCCTTTTACTCAATTTCTCTTCTGAAGCCACAGCATCTAATTTTCATTTTAGGTACTACACGTTTACAGTAACCTCCGAGGCACTAATGAATGAAGATTCAGGAAAGTTACCATACCTGTCTCCCAACATTCTCCTGGAAGGCAGCCTAAGGAACAAAGAACAAACATACCAAAACGAGTTAGGTTTGCTTTTTGATAAACACCAGATGATGAATCCAAAACACACAACAATATAAATGACCTATGGCTTTTCTTTTTTAAATAAAGTAAGCTTTGTCAGTAGAACAAGCCCACAGGGCTTTTTTTGTTTCTGCGTCTCTATGTTCTGGTCTTCTTGAAGCTGTATGTTGCATGACAGCAGTTTAAGAAGGCAAGTTTATTAAACTAGTCCCACCCACAAGAGTGCTTTTGACTAGTGACACAAGGCTTTGCACTGGAATTGAAAGCCAATACCTGTAGACAACAGAAATTGAGACAGTTCACTTATGTCTGACGACTTCCACACAATTTGCTAATACTCGGTAAAGTTTGATTCTTTGTCGGTGAAAACGTCAGACAAAAAATATTGAGAATGCAATACTTATTTGAAAGATACAAATCCGAAAGCATGCTGGAACACTGAAATTATAAAACCTGAAGACAAAATTCATGTGTGTTTCTTGTGTTTTGCATGAAATAAAATCTTGCAAAATGCAATGAATACAACTCTAAGGTTAATCTCTCTGTTTCTATGTTATACAGAATAAAATCTGTTTAACTCTCTACTCCCTACTTGAATTTTCTCCTCTCAAAAAAGCCAATTATTTATTGCTCCTTAAAAGGACATACAATTACACGGACTAATAAAAACTTCTGTAAATTTTAACTCTTTTCAGAAAGGAGAGATCACCATTATCTGGACACCTCTCAGGGAATGCCACTCTATCTACAAACGCAAATTTCCAGCAATGGATAGCACTTGTCACCTGCCAGTGAACTGACATTTAACACACAGGAGGGAAGTCCCAATCTTTACTGAAAATGCCAAAGCACTTTGACAGACAGAGCTTCTGTATTTGCTACACAAATAGAGGACGCATGTGGTAATCCACCTGTAAAAACAGAAGGTTAAGCCAGCTCACCGAGGCATCATACTTTACATACGGAGCCAGCACTCCGAGCACAGGTGGAGCGAGCCCTAATGAAGCCGGAGTGTCTTGGTGCATTTCTGAGGTTATGTCTGTTTAGGATAATGACTGCAGTTCCTGTAGACTTGCCCAGGCTAGTTCAGCTCCTGCTCGCGGCGTATCCATCGCAGGACACGTAGCACAGGTTGACTCGAAACCACTTTTCCCACCACCCTGGCGGGTTTCGGAGCCCACCGTAGCCTGCTTGCAGCTGCAGCCACGCTGCCAGCAGTGGCCCCAAGCTAACCAGTTTGAGATTGCCGCAGGCAGAGCTGCCTGGGCTGTCCTCCGCAGTGGATACACCCTTGGGCAACACATACAACAGCCTTCCAGCCCCGGAACAGGAGCTGTAGCAATGCCCTACGCTCGCTCATTACTGCATGCCATAGCCCAGTTTCTGTCACAGGGTTTTTTTCACTTCTTACCTCTTTACCAACATATGCCCTCAGCCACAATTTGTCAGGACATCGTTTCATGTCATCCTGCATCATTTATTTCTTTTTACATACATGGTAGCTTTAGATCCCCTTTTATCCTACTGCGATCCTTTTACTCAGCATAGGGAGGTTTCAGCAAGGATGACGCTCTCAACTATCGGATCCATGGGACTGAACAGTTTAATCACTGCACTACAGTTTCTTTGAAAAATGTATTGCTCAGACAATTGCCTTACTGATACAAAATCTGTAGAGGTCTTTTTTTTCCTTCTTTTAAAATCAGAAACTTTGATAACCAAACAACACAAACCTGGTCTCAAACCAGTGAAAGTTCTATTCTACTTACAGTACATCTCTGTAGGCCCAGGACTGAAATATACGGTGGCAAAATCATCGGAAAAAGATGTACAGTGGCCTCTAGACAGTGTTGCAGCAAAACAGCTATTGTACATAAGGATTTGACATGGTTTGTTTACTTAATGTAGGGATTTTAAAATTCCACTGCTGTATTGCTATTTCGTTTTCTAACTTAGAAAAATAATCACAAAGATCTAAGAAATAGTCCAGCAGCATGGCAAAAATACTTAGCATTCATCTGATGTATTCTAAGCATCTCATTTACAAGTTAATTTACACCTAATTGATTCATTTATCTATAAAAAAAACATACAACTTTAACCACTGCTTGCAAGGACAGATATTAGTATTGCCTTACTACAAATACATTTGTTGATTATTTCAATTTAACAGCCTTGGAGAAAAAAATCAGTTTGTTATACATGCTCACACTTCTTGTATGAATTTACAATTCATAAAAGCATGAAGAGAAATACAGTAACCAGCAAATTCCTGTATACATAGCTCAGTAGCTAGAAAATTTTCCAGTTGCAAAATAAAACTTTATAGTAACTTGTTTTGCAGCTGGTTGCTTAGGTTGAGGGAGGTTCATTCGCATCACCATGAACCTCCCTCAGCTTCAGCATTGTTGTGCATTTAAAAAAAAAAAAATAAAAGGTGTCTCTTCTGCAAATAATTTTGCAACCAATTATGGGGAAATTTACATTTCAAACATTCAAAACATTTTGAAAGTTTCACCAATTTAAGAAGGCTTTGTAGACAATGCACACTCCAGCTGTGACAACTTAAACACATTACTGTTGTAGGAGAACAGCTTCTAATCTCAATTTTGGCAACAGAAATGTGATATGGTAACTCATTTTTCCTGGGCGTGAAGGAGTACGTTGCACAGAAAAAGTTACAAGGAAAACCATTCCCACAATATTATTCTGTTAAAGCTTTGTGAGAGAAAGTAAAATAGAAGTATGAAAGTAATGAAACATATTGTTCATCCAAGTGAAAAGGTAATTTTCTAGAGCTCATGTAATGTTGACAGAATTCCCTCCTTGTTCTTTTCGCACTTTTTATTGTTTCACGTAAGATTTTTATTTGTAAAACTTTGGAGGTTTTCAGTAACTGACAATGTTACTGTTTCAATCATATTTTTAAACAACTGCAAATTTGTAAGATGTCATATTTCAATTGTTTTGTAATAATAATTTTTCATTTTTCATATAATCTCCCTCTAGAGAAGGAAAAATTGCATACAAAGATCTTAATTTAAAGATTCCATGAAAGCACAACCAAGATGACAGATCAGCCTTGTAACCTGAATACTTTGCTGTTCCCAGAAAAACTGAAAAATATTAAAACATTCTCCATGTCATGATTTTAAAAACTATGAACCAACCAAAAGGCAAAAAAAACCCACCTCTCTTTAACATGTCAGAGCTGCCAAGAGCCCCATCCAAGATCACCTATTCATGTGATTATTCCTTATAATGCTTATTCATGAAAGAGTTGCACAAGTCAGCTCAGAAAGCTTCTGGAGCTTCAAAAGAAGTCTCTTGTTTTATTCTCTCTAACCTCAGGGTTAAAAATATCTCTATATGCTATTTTGTTTTATTAGTGCTCTGCGTTATAATATATTGCATATTGTAATAGATGGAAAATCTAGTAAAACATGTTGTTTATTTAAATATGTATTTAACTGTAGTAATGACTGGAAATAATTAGGACTCCCAGGTATTTTTCTTCAAAATCGTAGTAATGCCCGTAAAACACAAAATTTCTTTGCCTACCTTTCTAAAATAAGAAAAAAGGTTTCAGTACTACCATAACTGTCCATCAAAACAGCAACTGCAAATTTTGACCAGGTCTAAATTAGAATGTACTAATGAAAAAATTACTTTGGAGATAACTGAGTTGCAGAATGCTCAATAACTGGGTTTAAAGTCGAAGAGGAAAGTGAGAGAAAAACGTACTGTATTTTGTATTCATTTGAAATATGGAAGTACAATTTGCACTAACCTTATAGCATAAGTAAACGTAGCTGGTTTAGCACCATACTTTATGGTCAAACTATCAGAACAAAGTGACTTAAATGATCCAAGGAGAGCAAACTCTACAGTTTCTAAAATTTAGGAGTTGAAGTTTGGGAAAAAGTAGCATTGCTCATGTTCATTAGTTGTACAGTATGTGAAGAACATGTTATATCAGTACTGAGTGATCTACAGCATCTTAGCTGCCATGCTTTGGTTTTCATCTATTTAGACAGTGATTTGTGATATCATTACACAAGCAACTGACTCACTTCCCCAGCAATTACGTTGCAGCTTCATTCAACAACTTGAACTCTCAAGCAGAGGTGTGGCGAGAAAAAATAAGGATGCTATCCAGGTACCCCTGAGAAATCCTGCTTATGTTATAAATGCATTAGCTTTCAAAATTTCAGTCAAAAAATGAGACATACTTGTTAATTAATCTGCATGCCGCAATTTTTTTAAAAGAAAATGCACTCACAGTAATGTTTATTCTTAGGAATAGAGACACCTGGTTCTTTTGACAGACACTGTTTAGTCCTCGGAGTTAATACAGTTATAGGGTGGGGGTTTTTACATTTGCATAAGATCATTTGTTTTATCTGTTGAAACAGACAACTCATACTTCTTTCTTTTTCTTTAAGAAAGTAAGTTTACTACAACACAGTGACCTAAACTCTCAAAAAGATGTCCATTCTTTCTTCTTCCCAAATTCTATAAGCTCTCCTCCATAAATTCTCTTAAGAACAATCACATATTCTTTTCCATTCTCAACAGCACAAATGTTTTCTACAGAAAGGTTCCACAGAATATACTTGGTGTCAGTCCCATTATCTAGATAACAATATCTGCCTAATGGATTTATCACTTTATTTTAAAAATTCCCAGTCCTACGGAAAGGGTTTGTAGAATAACTGAAAATACGTTTGAAGGGGAGATATCATTCTAGAAATTTTTGACTTATCACAATTACAGAGTACTAGTTCATGGACAATTAGAAGAGCATAACTTCAGAAAACTTTCCAGCTTGGTGACTTGAAAAAGATACAATGTTTGTATATTATGTAGACCTTTTTGTCTTTGATACTGGGACTAGAAAATGCTCAGTAGCTCTTTCTTGGAGGCTTTATCTAAACCATCATGACAACAATACAGCAGATCGTGAACTGTGGCCATAAATCAAGACATGGATCTGTAGATTATATAATTTGAAATCCGAATTCACGCCATACTTCTAAGGATTTAAAAAAGCATTTTTTCTCACAACACACTACATTGCTTATATACTGTAGTTCTACACAGTTAAGTCTACAAATTCTTAAAATAAATGAAAACAAACAAAAAAACAGAAAGCTATAAGCTAGAATGTGATAACTTACAGAGGCAGCTCTTCTGCAATTAACATCACGATCAAATACTGCAGCAATAATCAATGCACTGAGGAAATAAAACACTGAATATTAATACCAGAAATACGAGAAGAAACGTGTAATGCATCATTTCAACATTTAGACTTCTAAGCAGAACTCGCAGCATTTCCTCTAAAGAACTTATTATTTATAAATAAAAGCCTAAATAAAATTTAAATTGAAATAACCATGTACTTCCTCATTTCTCTGGTTTGCTCTGGACTCTCCATAGCATAAACAGACAACTGCCATGCTACTGCACCAAGGCAATTTCAGAAGCATGCACATATGTCGAACTGTATAGAAAGGTTTTCTATTTAAAACATAGCAGGAGTCCAAAGCTTGGACATAACTATCATCTCTAATGTGAGACTCGTACAGCACAAGTTTGAATTAAAACTTGGAAATACAGTTTCTCAACAGCCAAATGCACAGCAAGTCTTATGAAAGGCTTAAGCAAAACTAAAAGTTAAGCAATGGAAACTTGCAGCTATCTCTACAAGAACAATCACATCCTGTTAAGTAACAAAAACCAGAAAACAATACGCAAATCCTGCTAAAAAGGGACCTGAAATAAATTGCAAAGCAGTTTTTTTTAAAAAGTGACCTGTATGCACAGAGGCATGATTATATGAAACTATTTCTTTGTGCGTGAGGTCTGGTAACCCTGCACAGTTTAATTCTTCTAGCTCAAAAGAACTGCTTTTCAAAGATGTGCTACACAGCAGAACAGAGAGAATGTATCCCAGGACATGAAGTCTACAGCTTTAGAAATCCACCTCCAGCATTCAATTAACTTCAGTGACAAATAAACATCACTTCGGGAGAATCATTTAAGCAGAAAATTATTCCTTTCAAACTCTGAAACTCTTCATTACATTATTTATTGACTCCAGGCAAAACAGGAAATAAATACTGGCTGAAGAGTAAATCCAAGATAGCTTTGCATTAGCATAAAGATATTAATTACACTGATAATATCAAGCTTCCCTGGGTAGTGGCTCTCAGTTTCCTGCAGTGAAGAATACTGTGTTGTGAAAATTCACTAATACGTACAATCAATGTTGCCTCTGTAATTTCAGTTTATGTCCATTAAGGAGAACAAGAGACAGAAAAGCAAGAATGAAATGAAAATAAACCAAATAAACTGCTCCAGAGACAGTTAATGCTTTCTTATTGCTACTTGCATAAGCAATTCCTGTCTCTGCCACAAAGACATTAGGTGATTACAAAACAAAAGGAGGTCATCCCAACCATAGCGACTGGAAGTGCACACCTTTAGGAAGCCGACCAGTAGGAAGTAGCATACATGGCTAACTTGAAAAAGTGCTGGGCCAAATACATCATCTTCATACCACATTTGCTAATTTTTTTCTCTGGCATACAGAGAAACTTAAAAATAATTTTAAAAGGACGCTTCAGAAGTAACTAGTTTTAATGATCTGAATAGCTCCCATAAGTCTTTTAATTATAGACGAGAACATTCGAAACCAAGGAATTGATTGCAAATCATCCTGGAAAGCAAAAAGAAGGAAATTTACGCCGACATTTCTGATTACATGGACTGTAACTTAAAACATTATTTTGTCAGTTATGCAGTATTTCAATATTGCTCTCTTCTGAGAAAAACAAACAAACCAACGAACCCCCCAAACCCCCTCATTAAACTCAGAATCCAGAGTGCTGCCCTCACTGTGTCAAAGATACCCTGGAGTTAAGAGTTACAGACAATTTCAGAAGAGCTGTGCTGGGTCAGACAAAAATCCTTCCAAGTCATTGTCTTGTCTCTGACAGCGGCCCAAAAGGGACACTCGGGGATGAGTGCAAGGACGTGCATACTAAATATTAACATACTGATTTGAAAGATTACGCAGTCTTTTCAAACTGAAAATGTTAAAATACCTTCACCCCATTAGACTCATAAATCACACTGTCGTCACTGTTTTATGTTAATCCTTTTAATAGAAGTATTTTAAACTTCTCAAACTACACAAGTAATTTTTTCAAGTTAATTCCTATTTGAAAACGCAGGCACAGTCTGCAGTAACACAGGGATTAGCAAGGAAAGCAACATGCCTGAGACGAAACATGTCTAAGGTGTCTTCACCTGTCTGCTTTGTCGTGGGAGTTTATGTGATACTCCACCAGGATTTCCTAACATAAAGAAACTGTTTATGTCAAACAAAGTGGGATATTTTTTCAGGCTAGTTAAAGAATCATGTCTTGACTTGCCTGAAATGGACCACACCTGACTAGTAACAGGTAGAGCAAAGAACGGCTTTGCATCTTGCAGTCTCTATGAAACACCTTTTGTAGCTCCTTGAGGTATATTTAGCCTGTATGCACGACGAGCAGTTAAGTGCACAATAAACACAAACGGACTTTAAAAAGCAAGCTGCAACTCTATCCGTCAACTAATAATTCTCCCTTTCTTCCCTGTCCCTTCCCCTCTTCCCTAAGGACTCACTTAACTGACTTCAGGGAAAGTTAAAAGGACTCAAAGTACGTTAGTTGCTCACTTCCTCAGCCCAACACCAATCCCATTTCCTTCCCTCAACACACCAGAAAGAATCGGAGAGCAGAGCCCAGCCAGGTGGTAGGCATCAGAACACAGAAATATCGGGTTACCCTCTCCTTATAAGCACCAGATGTACCAGAGAATAAAACTGAATTTCCTTTATCACCTGCAGTGGGTACTTCTAGTCTACACCAGTCACAAGCAGCAAGAAGCCTATCCTGTTGCTAACCACCGAGAATTTGCTACTATTAATTCAAGCATACCACCCTGAAGCTGCAGGAAGAAAAAAAAATAAACTCTCAAACCTCATGCCAATTTGGCACAAAACAGAAATTCCTTCCTGAGCCCAAAAAAGAGAAAAGTCTAACTTGTAACAGGACAGAAAACTCTCCTCCTTACTATACATTAGGGAAGAGAAGGCGTGATAATCATCACAAGCAAAACAGTTCTGAACAATCCAAGCAAGTGAAAAAAGGAGGCGAGACGAGAGTCAGACCCGAGTCTCTCGAGAGCTGCTGCTGCAAAGCCCTTTCACAGCGTTTCAGTCGTGCCAGGACGCCACCCAGTAAACTGGATGATGAAAACAGGTCTTCGGCTCTAAGAATTTTTCTCTTGCTAGTTTTTTTTCTTTTTCTTTTTTAATACTAGAGAATCTCCCCCATTCACTTTATCACATGCAGCTGTGCTATCATCAACTGCAGGAGCAAGGCAGGTGAAAGCACAAGCCAAAGGGGGCTGCTCAGCCAGCACTGCTAGGGGAAAAAGCCCTCCAGACTAAGGTCCTAGGTTTAATTCTTCCTGTTTAGTTAGGCAAGAGGAAGATCCGACAAAAAGAAAAAGGAGAAATACAGTGACCATTCCCCCTTCTACACTGCATACTTTCACAGTCCCTCTAACCCAGCTCACATCAAACTCTTACACTTTCTACTAACCACCCAACATCCTACACTGTTCAGTGTGTTAGTCCAATCCCAAAGTTTTGGGGTGAAATGATAAAAGTAAATTAAACACACATGTATAAAAGATCAATAAGAAAAATGTTTAGAACAGGAGTTACTAATGCTGCTGCTAAAAAAAAAAAAAAAAGGAAAAAAAAAAAGGCATATGATGCCCCTGGAGGAAATAACTTTACGCAAGTGCAAGACACAGTAGGCACACAGCTCTCTTTTGAAGGCAACATTCAAATCCAGAAAAGAAAAAAGCTATTCTCGATATTTCATCATGGTACAAGATGTAGCTCAAAGCAATGCTTCAGATTTCCCCAATTCTGCAGGACAATCTTGCCCTGCAGCAAGCTACATCATTCATCCATAGCCACACCTTCCTTTTTTTTTCCCCCTCTTCAAAAAACAACGCACCACCGCAGGGAAGACAAAGCCGCCTGTGCTCCTACACCGCACGCACTATTTGTAGAAGTGTTCTGCTGAGCGGGAGACAGCAATTAGATCTTTCTAAATAATGATTCATTTATTGATTACCTACACCATCGAATGACAGATAAATGAAACTGCATTCTCACTATGCAACTGTTCCAAATAATTAAGATAGCCAGCAACAATTTAATCACTTTAATTGTATAATAGAGTAGAAGTATGTTTTGTTTTTTTTTTTTAGGTATTAAACAAAATAGCTTCTTAGCGTGCACCTGCCACTTTACGGACTAACTTCCACACCCAAGGGGGCAGGAATCAAATTACCCACATTTCCAAGCTATTAAATTATGTTCAACTTTTCTCATAGGTAAGCTTAAAAAGTGAGCATGCATGTAGAGACTGGGAGAGAAAAAAATCTTGTTTAAGTAGTGCTTTTATAAAGATATGCTTGAATAGCAACTTCAGTACATGCATTTCAAAACATAGCAAGGTTAACCTGCAACAAAAGTGAAGTTTCATCTTCTTTGCAAATAATTTTCTTTCTGTGGTCCTGTAGTTTGAACAGATCAGGCAAGGTTTTAGGAACCAGTTTAACTAGACTTTAGAAAATAAATAAGCAAATGTGAGTAAGTGTGTCTGTTGAAATGTGGATCGGGAAAAAACACTGACATGTAAAAATACAAGCAAGTACTAGTAGAATACTCTTGGGTGAGTATTTCTAATAAGTGTTCTCTAACTTTTTTCTTTTGTTTTTCTTCCTTAAAAGAAGAATAGTAAGGTCGAGAAGGAAAAGGGCTGATCTATGATCTACAGGAATCTAAGCTTGTAACTTCAATATTCTGACAATTTCATCACTTCAAACATTCGTAAGAAAGCAGAGATGAAACAGGTATCACTGAACATGGAGAGAGATATTTATTTCAAAACATTGTCAAATTTTACTAAAAAAATATTATTTCATTCAGTTTAAGGTGATTTTTCACTAGTCAAAAGGGAAATATTTATGTCTCTTGACTACTGGAAACACAGAAAACAAGGTCGTTCCATTACACGATGATACAACTCTGCAGGCAAGAAAAGGAAAAAAAAAATCCCACACCACACCACCAAATTGCCCTTCTGCTTTAATTTGTAACTACTGAACCACAGTCTGAACGGGTTGTGGGGCAGGATCCAGTTTAAGTAGCACACTTCTTCCCTATTTTGGTACCCAAGTGAGTTTCTCTGCAAGTCAGAGTAACACGTACCGAAGGCCATGACATGAAGTAGGAAGACAAGAAGCAGCTCACTCTTCAACTCAACAACTTCCAGCCACCACCAGCTTACTCTCCCATGAAGACCACCTTGCCTTTTGAGCATAGCAACCAGCTACTCATGCTGCAAGGTCAGCATTATCTGTGTTCCTCCAGCCAGTTAACAGCAGCGTTAGAGACACCGTTTGCAATTTCCAGCACCAAGGCAAAGCAGACAGTTCAGGATCGCAATCACTCATTACATTTTTTGAAGGAGGCAGTAGCTTTCCTTTCAGATAAACAATTTATTACTTTTCTATAAGAATCTAATAGTTTGTGTTCTTATATGGGCAGATGTTTTTGCTGTGTAATTCAGTTCACAATGGATATTATGTACTTTGTTTCAAGATGCTGAGTTCTGCATTTTTTAAGGGTAGTAACAATTTGCTTGTGGCTAGAAGTATGACTCTTCTTTAAGTAAAACAGTGACACACCTAAGGCTAGATTTAAAAAAAAAGCTGTATGTAATTATCAGGTTGCTGACACAATAGGTGAAACTGTGTGTCATACTGTATTTGAATATTTTTTTTCCACCATTTCTCTTTGGAGTGGCAATTCTACCTTCAAGAGTTGATTATATTTAGAAAAGGTATGGCCAACAGAACTACAAAGATTTTTAAGTAAAGCCTTAATATAACATTAATACTTGCTAAAATACTGTGCAGCTTTGTTAGAAAACTAAGCAGACACAAACCACAACACCTTACAACTGATCATAAGCAATTCTCAGCTTTCCCCTGCCATCCACTTCGTGTTTCTCTCCACTCCACCAGCTTATTCACTGTTTCTTCATTGCTACCCATGACCTGAGCTGGTTAGATTGAAAATAGGAATATAGCCCAAGATATAATCACATGATTATTTCACTGTGCAAACACATCTTTTAGGTACCTTTGTGCTAAGATTTTCATACTACACGCAATTTACCATGAACTCAGCTAGAAGGGTATGAAACATGACCCTTCTAAATAAAATATTTCTTTAATAACATACATGACAGCTTAAAAAAAAGAAGAAAGAAAAAACAGCATTTGGCCTTAAGAAATGTGACAGCAGGTTCTTAGACAGAAAGATTTTATCAAGGTCTCAAAAAACCCCAGGAGCAAGTACCACACAGATAAGACACACCACCGTGTGACCCTGCATGAAAGGGCCAGCACTGGAAAATGAAGATACAAGGATGAAGAACAGCAGAGACCAGCAAGGGCACAGTGCACCAGGATCAAGGAATAAAAATGGATATATATGGCTTATAGACTGTCCCAAATAACTTCAAAAACAGATTTTAAGGGAAAAAGAAAAAGTCACATATTCTTTGGGAATCTGCTGAGCTAAGAAAGTAATCCTGTGTTTCCAAACAAGACTTTTTGGTTGAGATTGAAGTAGTTCTGTCAGCAGCCTGGAGGCAAGGCAGCTTCTAGAAGCTGAATCAGATATCCAGGATCACAAATCACTGTATAGTCCAAGCTTTTCTTTTTTTTTAAAGATAATATTAAATGACTACTGATCAAAACCATTCCATGGAGACAAAGATGCCTGAGCAGCTGCTATCAATGGTTGTACTAAAGGTCTGCCAAGAAACTGTTAGAAGCAAGTTCTTTGTGTTTGCAGTGCAAATCACCCATTAAAGACACCTTGAAATGTCAGCCAGTGTGCTGCCAACGAAAAGACTAAATGCGAAAGAGCATCCCACAAGCAAATAGGAGGAAAAGCAGGAGAATAAAGAAAATATGCATTCCTTGGTAAACAACATCCAGAGATCAATTAATTTCATTCATGTTATATGGGACACACCTGTTACTTTTTAAGCATGAAGATATTTGTCCTAAACAGATGTACTGGTTTTGGTCAATATCTAATTTTAAAAGTCTTGAAGCACTAGACTTGTAGATTATTAACTTCTAGAAGATATAGAATGAGACTATTAGATTAACTACTAGCTCCTTCATAATTTTGAATAGATTTTAAAAATTAACTGTAAACAGCTCAGTTTCTTATTGCTGCAACTTACCTTGAAATCTGATTAATAAATGGTATCAGCTCTGCAGGATCATAAGCACGAGCAAAGGCCCAGCACACGTAGCATGCTGCATCTCGCACGTTGGAACCCACGCTGCATGCCCCCCTCTTCTCATCGTATGTCAGCGCTTTCAAAATGACAGGAACAACTGTTAAGTTAAAAAAATGGGCAAAAGCAACAATTAGGACCATACAGTGAACTAAAAAAACCCAAAAAAGATCATTAGAGATCTTGTGTGTTCTGAAAGAAAAGAAAGCACGGCTCTTAATACATGCTAATTTTAAAGTTGAACAAAAAGGGTTTTTTTAATACACTATTTTGTTTCTTTGTCAGTATCAGCTTATTTTTTTATTTCCTTCACATATAATTCAATGAGGATTAAAGGAAGTGAGTTACACAAGAATCAGTATCCATCTATCAGCAGGCAACATTTATCATGGTAGAAGGCCTAATACAACAAATTTTTCTTAATTAACAATACTTATGAATCATTAATATATCAATCTTGAAAGGGACTCAAGTACAGTTTTTGCACAATCTTAAAGCAAAGTGACACACTGACATCATTCTTGCATTAAGCCAGTAAGCTGTGGTGTTTTACTCCCTGTAGAGCACATCTCTGTGCCACGTTTTATCGAGGGAGCTCCAGAGGAAATGCTGTTGCACGGAGCGTAAGCCAGGCTGAGCACCGGGACCACACCACTGCAGTGGGACAGCAGTAGAATATAGGTCTTTTTGGTTTTTTAAATCATATTAGGGAAAACAGAGAAAGCAGAATAGTAAAACAGAAGTAAAGGCAAATGAAGATCCCAGAATCTTATCACAAAGGCCTTGTAACACAGGTACTGCTATAAGGAAGCAACAAAAATAAGCTTGAGAAAACAAGTAGGTTAGAATTTCACTTTCATGCTTATATCCCCATCAAAACTGCAGAAGTCAGTAACGTTTTCCTACAGATAACAGAGCTTCCAAAAACTAAAAGAAGAATCCTCTTACACAGTTCTAGTGATATACTGCCACAGTTTAAAAAATACTGTATGTATGCAAGGCTCCTCCATGGGCTTTCTTTTGGTAGCTGCAAATCCAGATATATAATTTGAATACATCTCTCTCTAGATGGCATGTCTTTAATAAATGAATAATATCTGTAGAAACAACAGCCTCCAGAAAAAAAAAAAAAAAAGAAACAATTTCTCTATTCTTGTATCGAATTTATCAAATGCATCTTTTTTCCTTAGAAAATACTTGTCAAAAGGTGATCCCATTGAACAAGAAATGGGATCATTGAACTGTATTTCATTAGCAAACTGTGCCTGGATATACTTCAGTGGATATAATCACAAAATAATTAAACTTCAATGTGCAGTTCATCACTGTACACCTGCTACTTTAAACAAAAAAATATGCACCACAACTGGAGAAGGGAAGTGTTAAAATGCCATTTAAATTCATTTTAACCTACTAAAGAAAACCAACCAGTAATCAGAGGGATGGACAAGATATGAGTATCCACAAACAGTATATGGGAAAAAAAGCAATTATCCGTCAGGACCAATGATACAGCAAAGCTGGATGGATATTTGGGCACTTCCCAGTCCAAAAGAAACTGCAATAAAAATCTTCAGAAATGTTGACTAGCTTGTTTTGAAAAATGCTGCGTCAACTCCTGAAAAATAATGGAATTAGCTGGTTCTACGGGAACACCAAAACGGACGCCAAAGGCAATTTTGCAAAGCTGCTGCAAATTTCCTTCAGCACAGGGTGATTACTCCAGCTACCTAGGACCGCTGTGAGTGCGCTCCCATCTCCCTGTGCACTGAAGGAAACGTGGAAGAAGGGCTCACAAGCAGCTCCTCCCGCTTGTATAGCCTGTATGAAAGAAAAATCACGTTTTTTTCAATTCAGGGCATTAATTTCCCAAATGGTAGGGACAACACCAAATGGCACCTGACTGAATAGGGTCAGTCTAAGACAGAGGTGATGCTGCCAGGGGTCTGTAACAGCAGAGACTGAAAAAACACCAGGAACAGCAGCTACTACTCTGCGCAGCTCAAGCTTCTCCCATTATCTCACAGCAGGCCTTTGGACTCACACCCCTTTGATGTCCTACTCCTGTGTCTGGGACTCAAAGTGTTGCTGCTGCAAAAGAAACAACATGACCACAAATCTGGAGAGCAAAGGGGGATAATGAAAAGGAACGATACAAAAGTGGACATTTAGAAGGTGGGAGAACCAGGGAAAACTGGTGAAGTATGCAGCAGTAAGGGCTAAGTGAATACAAATACAACGATGACAACAAGAAGGGAAACATTAATCTAGAGGCCATCTGTGAAAGTTTTCGTGCTATCATTGGTCAAATATTTACTGGTGAACTGTGGACTATGGGAAATACTATATAAAAACTGCTCCTGATAAATGTTTGCGTGTTTGAAAAGCGGGTCCAGCATTACATTTCCTGTTGGTACTTACGAGTCATAAAAACCCAAAAGAAACAAACCCAAAAATTCCAGGTTTCACTTCATTCTTTACCCCAGAATTCTTCAAACACAATGCAGTTTTTTTTCTCCTACAGCTTCCTGCAGTGTCACGAGGGCCCGGCTGAAGGAAGTCATGAAGGAGCAGTATAGGTAAAATCACCTGTAGCAGTTTGTCCACTGTAACTGAATTATCCTAGAAAACATCTTCCTCATCCACAGTTTGACAGACTCCGTGTTCATGTTATCTCATGTACACTTTTAGTACTTTGTGTTTAGACTGAAGACGAAGTTAAATTTATTTAACATTTTTCTCTGTTTTAAACCGTTCACATTCATACTCTCCTAAAGCATTTGATACACAACGCAGCAATGAAGTTCAAAGCTTTGTAGTCAGCTTCTGCATTTTGTATCTGTTATGCAATTTCAATTCACCATTATAATCACCTCTCAAATACTCAGCATGGTCACAGTGCTGTTCTGTATTGTTTTAAATTTTGCAGATTTAAAATCGCGTCACATTCACATCTAAAATCAATTTATCAAAAAAAAAACCACAAACAAAAAAAAGCTTTAGAAAAAAAAAAACTTCCAGAAGAAACTTATTTTAGTTTGGAAGGGTGGAGACAAATTTTTTTTTTAATTATGAACATGTCTTTTTTATTTAAAAGTAGGAGGCTGGGAGATACAACAAGAAAAATGACCTGAATTTTTACTTAACTTTAAAAGTTACCATTTCTTTCATAGATCTACATTAAAAGTTTGCCATTAAAACCAGAGGATAAATAGTGTCCACTCTCAACCTGATTATTAAAACAATATCCACCTGTTTAGGTCTGTGAACGCTCAAGAAAATACAGTCACCTTTACCTGTAGCCTAGAGGTATTAATAAGCACCTGTTGCACTCCACCCTGCCTTACCTAACAACATAACTGCAGGTTGCAACACAGCCCTTTGCTCAAGCCTTGTGAAAATAAAGAAACAGCTCCTGGCTTCAAAGCATTGCAAACAACAGATTTTTATTTCTTTTCCTCCTACTGGAGACAGGTTGCACAGATATTTTGCTTTTTAAGCACAGATTTTAAACAACCAGAAGCTTAGCATCTTTCAGGTGCAGGTGATAAACACTAAACAACTAGTTAAGCAAAGTTATGGAAGATATTGTATGCTGGAAGGCCATATGTACGCTAAGAAAAAATGCCTCAGTCTATTCCTTTAAAAAAGCTCCTTTAAAAATATACTTTAGACAAACGTAGACTATAACACATGCCATCAGGAGTCCTATGTTACTTTAACTTCAGATTGCCTCTTTTTTTTTTTTATTGCAATGTTTATCATATAAAACATACAAATACAGCAATTAAACAAACAAACAAACAAATGAACAACAACAAAAACCTGTTCCTTAGCCCTGGGTCTTGTCTCCACAAGAAAATTGCAAAATTCCATGTCAACCTTATTTCATTTAAAACAGATTTGTTCACTGCATCTCAAGTTAATTAAGAATTGTCTAAGTTTTAAACTAAACTAAAATTTGCCAATCTTGAACCAGATTAAGCTAATGCTACCTTTTACGTAAGTGTTACGTTTTGATACGCACCATTTATGCGGAGAAGCCTTCTCAATTAATAATATATTGCAAAACCTTCCACTTTGGAATTATAAAATACAAGAAAAGATCCTACAAGATAATGGGTGTCTGCTATTACTGAAAGCAGTGTGGTGCACAGTGTCACTGCAGGGGCAACTGAGAAGAATATTACAGTTAATGAATTATGAGACTTAAACGCAGCTATAAATATCAATACAAAGAATAAAAATATTATTCTTTGAATTTTTCTTCAACAAAACTAACTCATTGCAGAACTGTGCTTCGATTGATCCTTCTTCTTTGTAAGCCTCAGGCAAAAAAGAAAAAGTGCAAACAGCCATATCTGCAGAACGTCAGCTTCCCGTGCATTAAATAGCGTACCTATCGCTAGCATTCATATGCTAAAAAAAAACACTCCGGCTTTTTAATGTAAAGAATTTCAGATTTGAGACCACATGTTCTTACACGGCACTCTAACCTCTTTTAGAGAAAAAGGCAAGTCCTAATCGTAACTTCATTAGGGCTGTTATACTAATATTTAATATATCAACACAGATGCAAACACAGATAATTTCAGGTTAGGCCTATTATCAGAAATAAATATTCGTTTAAAGTTCTGCCAAACATTTATGATTTGTTCTCATTTTTCTACACAAGCTGTCTACTTCAGAATTTACTCTTAAAGGACTACTTCATCCAGAGGACAAATTCTCCAACGAGTATCAGCACAACGCATGTGCTGCTTTATCTGTCAAAAAACCCCCAAGTGTTGCTGTGAAATGCTCTAATATTGTATCCTGTAGCCTAAAAACTGTCAACAGGCGGCCTCTCTTCTGCCACTCCTGCACCCAGGTTTGCCCTAGTTACGAGTTTGCCCCAGGAAGGAGAGAAGAGTATCCCAACTCATGCTCAGAAGACTGATGAGAATTTAGCAGCCCAAGTCTCTTGGGCTGCCACAACTTTCTCACAATTCGCAGCGCTGACCCACGGATATAAGGCTATATATATGCACATCCACAAACCAAATAAGCATCTGCCAACCTGTGACTATGAAGGGCTGTGTCTGTCTGCTTGCAATCTCA